AAGCCACTTTTAGAGGCGTTTTTATCGATAAAAGAGGATTCAGAATACGGGCCTTAATATTTTAACCTTTAACATTTATACTAGTATTTAATTATTTAATTTTTAATATTTAGAAAAAGATCTTTCCTGATTAATCGTCAGCATGAGGGGAAATTTGTATGATTAGTCTAGTGATTATTAGGCTTCGTAACTAACCATTAGTCTAATTAGCCACTACCCGTTACGATAGACCAACCTCTTAATTAACCGTTGGAAGATCAGTGGTTAGTAACCTACGGCGAAAGGCGTGTGTGGAGAAATATCTTCGAGACGCTAACTCGGTTAGTCTAAAAATCGCGAGAGAAACAAAAAAAGGGTGAATCAACATGAATAAAAAATGTGTAAAATTAATTTTCTCCGTAAAAAGTATAATATATAGACTGAAGTGAAAAAATTTGTGAATTGATCAAAATTGGTTTTGCGATATTACGCCAGTCCGTATCGTAAAGATTGGAAATTTTTCAGATCATCGAATTTCTTATGTCCTTCACGGGAGATTAGAAAATATCGAGGGGGGAAACCGCTGACCAATGCCCAGTGGACATTACTTTATCTTATTAATTTATTTTATCTTTATAATGCCCCAAAAATTGCCCTAGTAATGTCCACACTGAAAAAAAATCTGATAGATTCAACCAGACGTCTGTTAGAAAATGGACGAATCAGAATTCCTTTAGGATTTACCAGATTCGTAGTGAAGTCTAGCACACTTCTGGTTATAAAATATCTTTCATGGTAAATCCTAAAGGAATTCTGGTAAATCCTAAAGAAATGCTGATTCGTCCATTTCCTAACAGACGACTGGTTGAATCTATCAGATTTTCTTTTCAGTGCAATAATGCCGCAAATCTGTACACAATGCCCTCAGCGGTTTCCCCCTCGGAAAATATCAATCCCTCACGAAGAACAAGAACATTTCTCTTTGTTTATCTATTTATGTCGTCAAATAGACGACAGAAAGATATAAAAGAAATTTAGAAATTCTAAAACATCGAAAAAGCGTAAGAGATTCATTGGCTTATTTATTTCCCTTTTCTCTCTCTATCTCTTATTCATTTTGCTATACGACATAGGTAAAAAAATGTCATTTTTTAATCGCTTACAAGAGAACGCCGAGAATTCAGTACCTCGAATGAAGAAGCAATATATAGCTAGATACTTTTATTCCTCCGCAATCAGTTATTACACCAAACAAAATGCATTTAAAAATGATAAAGTCTCCTATTATAGGATCCTAATACAGGATTAATAAGCATCATCTGTTGGAATTTATTGCCCTTGGAGTGAAATCTGTTTAGAGGAAAACAAAATTGAAGAGAGATGGATCGCCAGTAAATAAAGAACAAATAATAAGGATGACGTCACACTTAAGAGAATCCCTCAGTCTTTGATGGTGTGCGCCATCTAAACACGAAACGCAGCATACATGAGCACACGGACACACTACTACGATACATCACACCCATACATAAACGCGAAAATTTCACACTATACTCTTATTTTAAACCTCTAATCCCAATTTAGAGGGTTACACAGTAATTCTACATGTCATCGAATCCTAGGAAACTCAGTTTCATGTGAGTACAAGTTGTAGAACTTTTATACGAAGCACAAGTATGGCGGAGTGACAGTTCGCGTCTACAAGGTTATATGTGATCGATTATATGAATTTTGTAATTTTTACTCATTTTTGGTATAAAATCGGAGTTTCCTGGGATCATTAATGCATATACTGTAATTGTACGCAAGCATTTTTGATTCCATGAATTTAATACGACGAAAGGTTATAACTACGAAAATGGTAATTCTGTCGGTAATACAGAACGGCTACGGGATCCTCTTAATGGGTTGACTTTTGATACTTGATAAAGCCCGTATCAGACTACGGATTGAGATTGGGATTAGATTGAAATTTGACCAATCAGAGTAAAAGTTACTGAACTTGAGATTAGTAAACTTTACTCTGATTGGTCAAATTTCAATCTAATCCCAATCCCAATCCGTAGTCTGATACGGGCTTAAGGACCAGTATTACTGGTCGAAACGTTGTATTTTTACTAAACGAAATATATTGTGCCAGTTAATTGTCGACGTCATCATTATTTAGAGGAAAAGTTAGATCGTGTAATCGTTGCGAAAAAAGATTCGTGATTGAATTCGGACGTTAAAAACTTGCCATCTCATATTGGAATCCTGTCTTAGAATAAAAGACTTTCCTCTATTATTAAAATGTGAAATCTTCTCTGAACCGCGTCGTTCTTGCGGCCAACGAACGATTTGTCGGAACGTAGCTCTGCGAAATTTTCGGTTCTTCCATTTTATTACGGAATCTTTCAGGGCTCCTTTTCAACATCCCTCAGATTTCTCGGAAATCTTCCCGTCGCTCGAGCCCACTTCATAAATCCGATTTCACGCTTTTTCTCTCAGCCGGGAAGCTCCTGCGCGCAATCGTAGCCGTGCGAAGCGGAACGCGAACGGGAATTGCGGGAGATTCCAAAATCACGTCGCGTCCGCTGCATATTTATGAGACGCGGCTAAACACGAATTCTCAATTGCGCACGTTCAAGGAGAGAGACAGAAGGAGAAAGGGAAAAAAATAAGGGGGGGGGGAGATTTCCTCGGCGCGTTCTCTCCTCTCCCTCGATGTCTTGGAACGCGCGTGAAAATATATGTGCGTTGGATAAAAAAAGATTAAAAATATCCAACCTGCATCCTGGTGGCTTCCTAGCGTCCTCCGAGCGTTCTGAATGCAGTCGCGGTGTCGGCAAGTGTCACGATCGAACGGTGTCCGGTTTACGGGACACCTGGTCAACCTGTCCTGATCGCGGACACCCTCTGCTCCGGATTGTACGCAGGATTCGCGCGAGGTGGCCGCGGATTCACGCAGCAACGCCAGGCCCTCGCATCCGTGACAGCACGTTGACGCACACTGACTCAACACCGCACGCACTCGAAGCAACCGCGTCACCGCCGTCGCCGCCGCTGCCGCTGCGCCGGTGCTACCGTGATTCACAACGTTCACAACCATCTCGCGGTGAAAGCGAGAGGAGGAGGGGGATCTCTGCCCTTCCTCGTCCCCGCCCCGCCCCCCGCAATATCCGAACGTTCGGTACTCGCGACATTCTACGAACGGCCGGTATGGAGGATCTTTACTCGTATCGACCACGTGGTCTGACAGCTGTATTATGATTTTAATTGGAGAAAAAGAGAATGTCACCTTGTGTACGCGAAATTCATTCGGGAAAGAAAATTTAAAAATAGGAAAGAATACATTAAAATAAACCACAAATTTGATAATAATTTTAGTAAATAAAGTACTTCAGATTTTAATAGACGAAGTTTGAGAATATGACATCCGATAAGAATAAGATAAGATAAGAAAAAATGTTGCAAATTTTTCTTATACATCTCTCGGGTGTCTTTACATTCTCAAACTTTATTTATTAGATTGTTCGAAAAGTTCGTTTCAAATTTCCCATGTATTAAGCCCGCTGCAGACGACGCTATTTTTCCTGCTGGATTGCTCGCGATTTACTAAATTACTAGGAATCCTGAGTGCTGAGTGGTGCAACGATGTTAATTTATTAGATTGCAAACACTCCAGCAGGAAAAATAGCACCGTCTGCAGCGGGCTTTATACATATACAGGAAATTCGAAACAAACTTTCCGAACAACCTATTCAAATATAAATATACAGGATACTTAAATTTATATAAATCAATGTTACAAATACATTGCACCGTGTCATTGTTACAATTATGTTACATTGTAATTTATCTGAGGGAGGACATTTCAATGTTGCTTCAAGCTTGCAGCAACGTTGCTGAAACATTTCGCAACCTCCATACAATGTTACAATGTTGCAGTGAAAGGTGTATGCAATGTTTTTGCATTCTTTCGGTGCTGTATGGGACCCGGGCAGGATCCAGCGCCTTGTGTGTGCGTGTGCGTGTGTGTCGGATGCGCAGAAGGGATCGACGCAAAACGAAACAAATGACAGAATGGACCTACTTAAAGCGGGGAGCACACACTTTTGCATAAGTGCATAAGCATATGCACAACGAATTTGATTGGTCTATAAGCAAATGCACAAGGAAATGGACCAATCGAATTCGTTATGCATACGCTTACCCATACAGCACGAAAACTTTCAGAAACATTTCAGAAAAACATTGTTGCAATGTTTCTGAAACCTTCGGTGCTGTATGGGTATGCACTTATGCAAAAGTGTGTGCTCCCATTTACTGTAACTTATTTACCATTTGACACGCGTATCAAACAATCGGTGTAAACTAATAAGGCCTATGTCGATGGAACGCACCGAGCGCGGTACGGTCATAGACTTGTAATGTATAGACTGCGCGTTTGGCTGAAGGAATGTACAAACTTTTAGAAAGAGATAACACACTTTGAATCGTAGTCCTCTCTCCGTCGCCCTCTGTCGTTCCCCTTACTCTTCTGCTACCCCTCTACTTTACTAGACAAAGATGAGACGACCGCTCAACTGTCGGTTATCTCGTTCTAAAGTTCGCAACATGTTCTCAACACGAGAGAGGCGGGGAACGCGGTCTATTCTCACTATGGCCGGTATTCATAGTCCGTTCTTATATTTAAGATCATCTTAAGTATGCTCTTAATGTGTTTTCAACCAATCACAGAGCTGTATTAGCGACTTAAGACAATACTTAAGATGCTTTTGAAATAAGAATCGACTATGAATACCGGCCTATGCCTATGGGTACGGGTACCATAGACATAGAAGATAGACCCAGCATGCCCATTCATTTCCTTAAGAAAAGTTGTCACGAACATAAGAGAGAGAGGCAAAATAGAGCGGCCGCAGGGGGCATGAGAGGGAGCGAGAGACAAAACATTGTCTGCGCAAGACAATATTTTGTCTCTCGCTCCCTCTCATGCCTCCTGCGGCCACTCTATTTTGCCTCTCTATATGGGTCTATCTTCTATGTCTATGACGGGTACGGTGTACGGTCCCGTGCGGAAGCAGCTTGCGGCGCGCTCGTGGATCGACACACGGCCTCCGATACCGACAGCGATAATCGACGTTGTCGGCGTAATCGGCGTCAGGGGGGCCGATCCCTGCGGCACGACGCGACGTAGCGTTTAACCGTCGCCGAATCGCCCGTTGCTTGACAGAACCGAGGAAGATGGCCGATATGACGGAGTCGCCGCCTCTGTTCGACACCAACGAGACGAAATTGGACGACCTGGAGGATGACGACGAGGATATCTTCGCGTCCGCGGTGCAGGTAACACCGGTGGCGGGCGGTCCCGACCGCGCCGGGAGTCAGAATTTCACGGGCAGGAAAAGAACAGAAAAAAAAAACAAGGATCTCCCAACGGGCTCGCGTGTCACGATGCCGCGAAAATAATCCGCGTTCGTTCGTGGTCGCGCGATAAAACGGCGCGAGATGCGTCCTCCCGACGTCCGTATGTCCGCATTGTGCGATTTCAATCCGTGTCCTCTCCGCCGCGAGAGATAATCGTATCTCGACAACGACACGTCACGTCACGTCACGTCAAAGAATGTAATGATAAACGTTCACAGGTGCCCGAGTAAATTTCGGGAATCCTCACGTGTTTGCAGGAGCAGAATCAACTGGAGGACACGTCACCTTACAACGGAGTGTCCAAGGTTCAGGCGGAATTGCCGAAGCTGTCCCTGCGAGACATGCCGGAGGAGAATTCGTTCTCCTCGATGTCCAGCCCGGCGCCAGGTCCCTTGAGCCCTCCGCTGGGGCCGATGAATACGGACATCGGGGACCTTCATGATGTTCCTATCAACGACAACGCGGACACCTTGTCTACAAGCGTCATTCACTCTCGATCTCTAGAGGAGGTACATACATACGTTAGATTGGGTCGATACGTACAATTGTGGTTTCTCACGCTGTGCTGTTTACGCAGGTCCCGGCAGACGCGTCCGAGGTGTTCTTAAAGATTACCGTCACTTCGCCTCAGAAGATAGGCGACGGTATGGGTGCCTACGTCGCGTACAAAGTTGAGACGAGAACGAACATGCTGATTTTTAAGAAGAGAAACTTCAGCGTGATTCGGCGTTTCAGCGACTTCCTAGGTCTTCACGACAAATTGACGGAGAAATATCTCAGGAACGGCAGGATAATCCCGCCGGCTCCGGAGAAGAGTGTAATCGGTAGGGATATAACGTTTGTGCGTGCTCTCGCCGGGTTTACTCGCGGTTGTAGAACAGTCGTCGGAAAATGTGAATTGTGTCGACAGGAACTACGAAGATCAAAATGTCCGGGGACAAGAGCCAGGAGCAAAACTCGAGTTCCACCGAGTTCATCGAACGACGCAGAGCGGCCCTCGAGAGGTACTTGAACCGAACAGCCGCACATCCAGTTCTGAGCATCGATCCTGATTTCAGAGAATTTTTGGAAGCTGGTAAACGATGCTCGTTAATAAAGTGGTATAAAGCTCTTGAACGATTCGAGTTCATTCAATTAACGATCCTGCCTTCTTCCAGACGTAGAATTGCCTAAGGCCACCAATACATCCGCATTGAGTGGTAAAGGAGTGATGCGGCTTTTCAACAAAGTTGGGGAAACTGTTAATAAGATAACGTACAAAATGGACGAGAGTGATATGGTGAGATTTCTTCAATGTAAACACATATTTCTTCTTGCATGTATTTCCTATGAAGTATCGTGAAACAATTTTTTGTTGCTTGCAATAGGAGGGTAAGGTACGTTCATTTGAAATCAACGTGTCATTATTTATCACGCACGTTTTAATTTGATATCTACAAGTCTATTAACCTAATCACCATTGTATTATCGTGCAATATGTATCGTAAAAGAATATATTACGATGATTTGTCGGTTCATTAAAAACGATCATGTATACCAGTGTTGCCGTGCATGCACAATTATTCGTTACTTGAGAAACAAAATGAATAAGCATCCGCATTCTTTTGCAGTGGTTCGAGGAGAAAACATCGCAAATAGATTCCCTTGACATTCAGTTACGTGCGCTGCATTCCGCGGTCGATTCCTTAACGAATCAAAGAAGGGAATTGGCAAACTGTACTGGCGCCACGGCGAAGTCGGTTGCCGTTCTCGGTCATGGCGAACCGGGAGCGTCTCTTGGCAGAGCCTTGGCGCAATTGGCCGAGACTCTGGAAAAGGTGGAGGTGATCAGGAAGACGCAGAGCAACAGCGATCTCTATCAATTTGCAGAGATGCTAAGGGATTACGTCGCGCTTATTGGCGCAATTAAAGTTCGTATTTACCATTTACGATTGAATTTGTGTTCCTTCGCGTACAACATTGTTCGTTGCAGGATGTTTTTCACGAGAGAGTGAAAGTCTTTCAAAACTGGCAACACGCCCAGTTGATGTTGAACAAGAAACGCGAGCAAAAGGCGCGACTCGAGCAATCAGGCCGCACGGACAAGACGAGTCAAGCGGCTACCGAGGTCATCGAGTGGGAGGCGAAGGTGGACAGAGGCCAGGAGGAATTCGACAATATCTCGAAGATGATAAAGGAGGAGGTCGAGCGCTTCGAATTAGTCAGAGTGCAAGATTTCAAGAAGCAGCTGATCGAATACCTGGAATCGATGCTGCAACATCAGAATCAACTCGTCAAGTACTGGGAGAGTTTCTTGCCGGAGGCACGAGCGGTCGCGTAAACATTCCGTTAAAAAGAAGCGATAATACGATAATAAGGCCGATACCTACCGTATACCACGAAAGAAGTAACTTCTGTGATGTTCGTCGGGACAAGTTATATTCCTTCAGTATCAACGATTGCGGCGTATCTTGATGAAAGAATACTTGGGCTTTACAGTATACATGTAAGATCGAAGAAGAAAGAGAGAGAGAGAGAGCGCAAAACACACGATTCGAGGGTACTGCCAGTTCAATTGGAAGCGCGATGAAAGAGAAGAGAATTATATCCTAATTAGACGAACGTAACTAGAAGTCTCAAATTTTTATTACATTTCAATTATTGTCAATATATAATATATTAATTCTTTATGATTACTTTATATCCATATTATATATACATACGTATGAAATATTATACAATTTGTTAAAGAATGTTACTAAATAATAAAGATCAATCATGGTTATATAAATGTCTGCGTCCTATGCTTAACAAAGCAAATGTATGCGCAGACTTGAAAAATGTAGGACTTTTATGTTCGGCAAAAAAAAACGTTGCAACAAGTGAGCACGTTTGAATTTTAGAGAAAGGAGAGCAGTTTAAGCGCGTAAAAGTGTAAAAATTGCAGCTGGAGAGGCTAATTTATTATTTTATTGGGGCGTAACTGTAAAAGAAAGGAAGGAAGATTTGTCGAGCGCGTCGTCCGTATGTGCGACGCAACAAGTGCGCGTTTTCGACGAGGAAGACGGGGAAAAGATCAAGGAACTTGCGACTGAAATGTACCGACTTCGCTTTCGTAGCTGCACTATACTTTCTACAATTGCAGTGAAATAATTAGGAAAAGTAAACGCGGCTCAAGAGATAGATTTCTTCTTTGAGGCAATAGAAAAGAAGCATACAAAAAGTTAAGCTGCGAAGAACATACCATTTATGACGTTATAACATACGCATCCACAGTTCGTTGTAGCTAGACTTTTTCTTCGCCCTATCGGAGAGAAACCCGAGAGCGGGCCATGCCGGCGTTTTCCTCGATACCGTTTTCGCTAGGTAGAGTGGGTAAAAGTAGAGTGAAGCCGGAAGTCGCCGTTTTACGATTGACAAAGTAACTGAGGCGTATAAATTTGACGAAATAAAAAATGCTTGCGTACAATTACAGTATATGCATTAATGATCCAAGGAATCTCCGATTTTATACAAGAAAATGAGTAAAAATTTCAAACTTCATATATTGATTAGTTATATCCTTGTAGACGAACTGTCGCTTCGTCACAACTTATGCTTCGTACAAAAGTTTTACAACTCGCATGAAACTGAGGCCGGTATTCATAGTCGGATCTTCTGTTCAAGACCGTCTTGAATTTATCTAAAGATGCTGTATGGAACATTTCATTGGCTACGGAGTATCTAAAGATAATCTTAAGACGGTCTTGAATATAAGATCTGACTATGAATACCGGCCTGAGTTTCCTGGGATTGGATTATATGTAAAATTACTGTGAAATCCTTCAAATTGGGATTAGAGATTTTAAATAAGAAAATAGTTTGTATGAAACTTTCGCGAAACTTTATGTATGGGTGCGATGTATTGTAGATGTGTGTCCGTGTGGTTATGTAGGCTGCGTTTCGTGTATTAGACGGCGCACACCGTCAGAGTTCGCCGAGCCCTGAAGGTATTAGATGTGAAAATGCAAAGCGGTTAAAAAATGAACAGTTGGTTTACGTAGTTCAAATTTAGGCGCCTTAGTTACGCTGTCAATCGTAAAATGGCGACTTCCGGCTTACTGGCTCCACTCTACCTAGCGAAAACGGTATCAAGTAAAACGCCGGAGTAGCCGCTCTCTGTTTCTCTCTGCCTCGACGGTGTATTTTTGTGCGCCGTATGGGCCGCGCGCGAGGATCTTGATTTATCGATAATGACACGTAAAGTCGTGCAACACAGCATATAAATTACATCCTCCACGATGTCGTCCGACAACGAGGACGCTCAATTGCCGGCGTACGAGGACGATCCGCGAGTTCCTTGCCAGTACGGCGTCAAATGCTATCAGAAGAATCCGCAGCATCACGGCAAATATAAACACCCGCCAAAAGGGGAGAAGGTAATCATTTTCATCTTTATCTGAGAAACGTGACGACTTTGCAGTCGATGTGTTAACATTAGTTCGCATATTAACTTACTCGGCGGTTAATTTGCAATAAATAATCTCGTCTATAGCTGCACTGGTCAGTGCGTTAGCATTTGATTCACTTTCGTTAGAGAATTAACTTTTGGTAGATCGTACCTGATCATGCTAGTTCGTTAACTTGGATGGAATTGTTAATTTACATATGTGCAAGAGGTGCTTAGGGAGAACGAATTATGTAATTCGAGATTTTACATCGAGCAATTCTGCCGTTTGAATTTAATCGCCGATTGACTTGAGTTGTCTGAGTACACGGTCGTCCTTACTTCATCTTTTCCACTTTGCAGAAAATTGGGAGGACGATTACTGGAGAGAAGAGAAAGGATCCTTTCAAAGATAATGGAAAAGCGCAGTTAAAAAGTCCAGTGAGAAAATTGCAGAAGGCACACGAGCCTTCCGAAAGGAATTTACATGAGCTCTCTCCAAGTCCGGAGAGAAGTGATGTTGTTAGAGACAACGACATTGATGAGAAAGCAGAAGCATCGAGTGAGAAAACGTCGCAGAATGAATGTAATTCAACTGAACACAACGCGGAGAATAAATCTGACGCCGAAGGAATAATCATGGATCTATTTCTGGTCGAGATGCCGGAAGATTTTTTTCAGTTTTACGAATTTTGCAAAAGTATATCGAAGCACAGTCCTCTCACAGCTTGCAAGTCCGTTCGCTTGACACTTGTGGGCCCGTACGATGTGCTGGATGGTAAAATAAAAGTGCCCTCGAGTAAGGACGATAAGGAAAAGTATTTGACACACTGGAGATATTATTACGACCCTCCAGAATTTCAGGTGCACAAAATAAATCGATATTTATAGATGACATTAAGTATTTTAAAAACTGAAGAGACAGATTCAACTTGAGAATTGTATCTACAGACTATTGCGAAATGCGACGATAAAGAGGGATTACATTTCGGTTACTGGCGAGATAATGTGGAAAAGCCGGTGTTTGTAGCGAAGAATCGAGCAAACGTGAACGGTGTATTTGAACCTGTCGCAGAAAATATATTTGGTGCTGTCGAGTAAGTAAAATATAAAACTTTAGAAGCCCAATATATAGATCAGTGTCTGTAAATTTATTATTATTTTATATCGATTTCTTAATTATATTATTTAAATTACAGTACGTATTTGCAAAATAAAGTGAAGTTGGCCAATCCCTTCGAGAAGGCCGGCATAGCGCGTTTGCATTCGCAATTGAAGAATTTTGCCAAGCAGCACAATGTAACTCTGGAGAGAAATACTGTAGGCATGCGAGCGAGAGAGAAACGGGTTGTAGCGCGAACCTTTCATAAGGCAGGCATTGTAGTTCCATATGATAAGAAGACTCAATTAGGTTACAGAGATTTGGCAGCGACAGACAGTAAGTACAATCGAATGTATTAACCGTATTTAGTGTGCTTAGATTCAATATTTAAATGTGTTTTTTTATAATAATTTAAAAAACATTTTTATATGATAAATTATACTATTTAATTCCTTTATTGTATTTAAAGAAAAACGAAAAGTATTACAGAGTCGTATATTTTGAGATATTCTTACGAATGTGATTCTACCAGATACCGGACATAACTAATGCGTTCAATTATATGGCGAAAAGTATTTCAAATAATTCACAATCATTTTTACACAGAGTGTCCGAAAAGTCCGCCAACGCGCCAAAATAAAGCATTTTAGACAAAAATGTTTTTTTTTTTTTTTTTCGAGATATTTAGCCGTTGCCGGACTTTTTGGACACCCTGTGTATATTTCGTGCAGTTACACATATAGACATGTACGATGTAAATAATTACCTTTCTCTGGTATGTGATAGACGATTTACAAAAAATATTGGAGCAGATAGAGGAGGCTGGTACTCCAGAAGTAAGAAAGACATCGATTGCGAGACTTGACGAGGTCGTAAGATTGGCGACGATAGCGGCGGACGAATGCGACTTCGGTACTTGCTTAGAGTTGGGACACGATCTCTTCTCAAACGGCGGCATTCACGTACAAACTAGAGCTCTGCAAATGCTGTCTATCGCGTACACTCATTTAAAAAGACCACAGCTATTAAGAATAGTGAAAGCACATTTGAAAAACAGGAAGAAGGGTTGTGAATTGAGTGTGATTTAAAATATTTAACAGTGACTTATACATATATTTTTTAATTAAATCTTGAACACATGTTTGTTATGACCTTTTGGGAATTTGTTTGGTACCTTATTGCGACCAAATTACTGCAATTTGTATACGTTATGTGTGAATTATAATTATATTTAATATTTTGATTCAAATTTTTTGAAATAACATTTACAAAGGGAGCAATGATAATTATAAACAGTAGGATCAGTACAAATGGTAACATTCTTTAGTGACAAAATAGAGAACAAAATTAACGGCGTTGCGCCGTGTTCTGGACTACCCAACAACGTCAAGGTAACTCAGGTTGTGATGTGTGATGCCGTTCTCTAAAATGTCTCTCAGGTCGCAAAACTTTCAAAGCGGACTCACGTTAAAGGCTTTTAATATTATATAATAAATCTCGATTTCTCGCGGCTGGGTTGTTAATCTCAGTATTAAAATTGAAATAGATTATAATAAAAATTTTAACTTCGTACATTTTCTATCGTATATAATTTTAATTAACAGTTGTATATTTTTGTATTTAATAAAGGTAACAATTTAATTAAGTTAAGTTTCCCAGTTTAATTTCTCTTTCAGCTAATTTCCCTCCATTATCCGGAACAATGGCCCTAATGCTGGTGGTAACAGGCACAAATAGACTAAATGTATAGGTAACTTTGATACATCGTAACTCAGCAAAAAAAAAATCATACAGACTTCAAGTTTTTTTAATTGATAGGAGAAAGTTCATATTTTACGATTTTTATAGTTTGCGAAAAAGTTTATTGCACCCCGTGAAGTGCGTTAAACTATGAAAAGTTTTGCACACAAAACACGTCCTTTTAAAGAGATGACGAAAAGGGAAAAAGAGAAGTTAAAAATCTGACGAATTCTCTTTAAAGTAGAAATCTTTAACTTTAAAATTAAAAAAAAACTTTCAAATGCGATGTGTTTTCGCGAAATTACGATTATTTGAATTTGAGTGAAATTTTGGTATACATTTTTGTTGCGTTAATTTTGTTGTGCAGTGTATATAGAATTATATAAAAATATATGTATATCAAATATGTTCATACATATTTCTATATAATTTTATACAATTCTACACAGGTTTGTATAATTTTATATATTTATACATTTTATATGACAATTTTTTAATGTGGGTACGCAGGACAGAATGGAATAAATACAGTATACGGGAGAAAAAATATATATGTATAATTCACTCTCCGTAAATAAATTATTTATGTCATGTAACTTCATATTCGAATATTAAAGTACTACTGAGACGGCGCTCAAAATAGAACGAACGGCGAACGGCCAAAAATACCTTCCGCTTCTGCTCAGTCGTCGATGTCTAGTCATTCCGGATAACAGCGTTGTTTCGATGAAAGTGTTTTATTTTAGTTGAAAAATATCTGATAATTACGCGTATCCTTTCTGGTAAATCATCTTTAGCATATCGCAAACTATTCATATTTAGAAATATTTTGTTAAAAAATTGTTAAAAGTGGGAGAAATTATTAATATTCGAAACAGTGAGTCGTTAACATACTTCATTCGCAACTTTGATTATTCGTGACATACGTGTTGAAAGTTATTAACCAATAATATTGTTATATTACAAAGAAACTAGCTCTCGTGGCATTAGGGTAACTCCGGTATATACGCTGCACCTATAAGGAAAACTTAATTTATTAAGTATTATTTACAATGTTTAAGACAAATAAACTATACTAATAAAAACTGTATACTATCTACTACTATAAAAAAAATGAAAAATATGAAAAGTTAATTGTTGTATTTAACGAAAAATCTTTTAGAAATCCTTGCATTTTTGACACATATCTCACAGGAGTGGGTTATACGACTATTCATGGGTGGATATATGTCTTACAAATAATGTTCATAAATTAGGTAATAAAATGATGATATAAAATGCGTGTGAAAAGTTTAGAAAAGTACAAGAATGATAAACAAATGCAGATTTGTTTGCAGAAGGATTAAAAACATATTTTAGACAAACTATAGATACATTAAAGAGATATTCGAAGAAAACTTAATAAGAGCTTTTATCACTTCCTTTTCTCGTTTTCTGCCATCAGTTTAACTTATTATTCACTGTACTATGGCATAAATCTCGCATGGTAAAAATGCTGTCTAGCCTAAATAGATGGGATATAAAAGATATCAAGCAAAACGAAGAATACAAGAGCGAGGCACTTATTGTATCTTGCTGTATTATATCCTTTACTATCCCTCTACATGTATGTATCATGAAACAATCATTAAGTTTTTTTACATCTCCTACAATAATCATTTTATGTTGATCGTAATATATGATGGCGCTACTTACTACTGACTGATGTTATAATACAATATTAATATGACATAGAAGCGCATAACAGAGTAGTTGTAAGCACATTATTTTCATTGCTTCCATTTTTTCTGATTTCTGCGACGTAAATCCCCGCGCGGCATAAATACCAGAGTTACCCCATATTGACTTGAATAGAGAATATAATGTAAACGAAAAAGTGTTAGTCGTCTGTTTTTTAAAAGTCAATCGTTTTTTTTTCCTGCGTTTTTCTTTTTCTTCGGCATTACTGCGTTGACTGTCTTGATTGGAATTACAATTTTCGTCAATCTTGTAGAGAAAAGGAAAAAGAAAGATGTCTCAAGTGGAGAAATCAGATCTCACAGCCGGCGGAGACGCACCACCAGTTGAAGCGATCAAGCTCGATTGCGCTGATAATACGGTCGCAATTATCGCAGTGGAGAGCGCTAATGTAAAACCAGAAGACGCAACTGCATCCGCAGGAGAAATTGCAAAAGAGGTGTTAAACGTGCAGACTGAAAACGAACGTCCGATAGAAACGACAAACAACGCGAACGTACCTGGTGGAGTAGAAGAAGTTGTTAAACCAGAAGATGCATCTACTGCAGAGTGTACTAATGTAATCACACAGATCATTCATACGTCAGTGGAAGATGTGGCACAAGCTGAGGCACAAGAGATCGCTCAAGAATCTAATAGTTCTGTAATCGCTCTTCACAGTGAAGAAACGTTACAATCAAAATCTGCTAATAAAGAAAAGGTGTGAGAGCAAAAGCAATAGATAACTGACGGATTTTGTTATTTATTATTATTATTTGCTGTTATTGCTAGTTATTATTATTAAAGTACGCATTGCTATTTATTATTATACCTATCTCTGTCTTCAGATCGATACGTCAAAGCAGAATACAAGAAGTAACAATGCGGCGTGCATATCCAGATTGGAGGCGGAATTGCGGGTGAGAAAACCCCCCGAAAGTGCCCCGGATTGTCCTGAAAGAACTGAGTCACGTCTACTTGAAAATGAAGTTAAATCTTCACGTTTTTAGTAAAAAATCAGTTTTTTTTTGTGAGATCTTTGCAATATCTCTTTCTTCCACTTGCATATACATACGCATATCGCGATAATAATATTTTTCATTTCTAATTGTTATATATTTTGAAATGTTATTGATTTTAAGAAATCCTATAATTTTCTTTAACAAATTAAAAAGTTGACTACATGAGCCTTGCCATTCCTCGTACACCTTAAGTTAATATTCGTACAGATTTTAATGATCCATATGACCGGCAGAAAAGAACAAAGGAGTGTGACAGTTACCGGAAGAAATTGGAAGACACGGAGGCGAAGCTGGCCGCCCTGCAAACATCCTACGATACAATAATGAATCACGGCAGCAACGAGGATACCATGCAACAATCGGTGGAACAGTTGCGCGGACAACTGGTGCAGACAGCATTGATGTATGAGGAACGCAATCGCGTAGTCGCGAATCAGGAGAACCAGATTAACGCCCTGAACAATCAAGTCACATCGTTGAAGGAAGTGATATCGATCACGCGGGATTTGTTGCAGATCCGCAACATGGAAGTGAAACAGCTGCAAGTGAGTTGACGATTTTATTCCTTTTTGTACGTGCGAGTTGCAATGAGAAAAATACTTTAAGAAAGATTCCAAACAAGATCTTGCTTAAAAAGAGCAATTTGCATTCACCGTTTCGTCCTTTTTTTCATTTAGTTTGTTCCCCGAGCTTTCTTCTGGTTTTTCTAAAAATAAGAAAGAATTCGTGAAGAAACTTTGAGATACATTTCAAACATTATAACTTTATATTCATACAGATTGAATTCCGAATTGACTCATTTCAATTTACCTCTTTTCTTCGGGCTCTTTTCTTGTGTGCCTTTTATTAACATTACCATTAATATAATATGCATCGTTAGTTTTGAGATTACTGTACGTTTAAACTAAAATGTGATATATGTTGCAGGCTGAAGTTGACAATATGGAAAAAAAAATTTCCGAGGAACGCGATCGACATAACGCGATGATTAGCAAGATGGATACAGCAATGAGGCTCAATGCTGATCTCAAAAAGGAATATGAGACCCAGTTATCTCTGTTTCAAAGTCTTCGTGAGAAATACGGCGAGAAAATTACTCTATTGTCCAGGGAGAAGCAAGCCCTCGAAACGGCCGCCTCTGCACCTGAATGAAGATAACTTTTACATGTCCTTAACATTATTAATACATATATTTGTCATGCTTTTATATCAATTATTTAATGTGCACTAATAAAATAAGAGTGTATGGGAAGTCCAGATTCAAACCCTGGTTGAATTAATATTTTTCGCAATAAATTTCTTTAATTAGAAATTGCCAGCTTGCGTCGTTTAGCAATTTTCTACATTGGTTAATCATGTACTGGCGCCAAATAATTCTTTAAATTTTGTATAACATTCTATCGTTTTGCAAATAGTAGAAAGACACAGGCAACATTGTGCATTGCATATTGTGTGAATTTCGTCGCGCTGTTAACAAAGAAAATGAAGAAATTAAAGAAACCGAGGCAAACAAATTAGAGAAAATCAAATTTCCACCAAGTTTAGAGATATCGACACTTCGAGATATCTCGATACTTTAGTTCGAACATATAAAACATTTCATTGAGCATAAAAATATTTCATTGAAATAAAACTAAATCAATCGTCACTTTGTGAGAAAAAGTAAATATTAAATGACTGAAAGTAAGAGGACAATTTTTATAATCGATTAGACATGTATTGTTAATAAATAGTATGTCGAGTGCAGTGAATAATTAAGACTTTTGAAAAGTGTTTTTGTAATAAATTTCCTATATTTTGAATGTAAAAATAAATTTTCAAATAAAATTAATCTATATCTAGTAATTTTATTATACTATGTGACAAGTACGAACCGAAAGAAGGACCGGCCATCCATAAGTTTCCGTGGTGTAGTGGTTATCACATCCGCCTAACACGCGGAAGGTCCCCGGTTCGATCCCGGGCGGAAACATTTTTTTTTAATACTTTAAATAACTATTTTATATTTTTTAGTGTTCAATAATATTCAATATTTTTGGTGTTCAATAATTCAATAATACGAGTACAATTAGCACGTTATTGTAATATTTAGACTTATAAAAATATAACAAGATTTTTAACTATATTGTAACTTTGCGTATGTTTTAAAACAGATATTAAAATAATAATTAAAATTAAAACAGTAAAGTTAGCGAAAGACGAAAAAAGGATAGCCTTGGTAGACAAACCAAATAAAGTTCAAAAATTAAATATGTCGATCCATGAAATGTACAGGTAGAGTTGTATAAAGATGTTGAAATTAGAATTTATTTATAATTATTTACAAATTAAATGTAAAGACAACGCTATCAGTTCGTACTTCGTGACTTATTTTATTTACGCAAGAGTTACAACAACAGGCGCTTCATCGTCCGCCTCTTCGAGCAAATTTGAAAAGTCCCACAGAAACTTGGCGGTCAGTCGGCCCTGCAAACGCTTCGCATACGATTTTAATCGACCATCCACCTCAGAATTCGACTCTATGTTACCGAATAGCTCGCACAGATTGCGATACACGAAATTATTGCTTGCTACGATGTCGCAGAGCACGTCTTCCGGCACATATGACAATTCTACTTCCAGGGCTTGCAGAAACTCCATGTAGATAGAGCGATACTGTGGGATCGCGTTGTCCGCGCCACAAATCAGTAATATGAGTTTCTTCCATTGTTCAAAAGCGTCCAAACTCTGGCCAGCTAGGAAGCAGACAAACGTCAGTTGCATCTCCCCGATGATCTCGATAGGCCTAAAAATTTTGTGACCTATTACTTTAGACATTCACACAAAAAAACCCTCGTTTTACCCACTGATCCCCTCTCTCTCTTTCCCCCCTCCCCATCTTGACCTTTTGCACTCTAAAGTCAGACTTACTCTCGCAATTTTTTCAGAGTAGTATCCAAGACATAACTGGTGTCGAGAGAATGCCGTGTTATCTCGCTTGGAGTCGCATCATCGGGATAATGCTTATCCGGTATTTCCGTAAGCCTGAGTTCTGTGCCAGGCTTCGGTTTTAGATCCGGCAGCATTTGCTCCTCCTTGTCTTCCGCCGTGAGCCTGCCGGACCTCCTTTGTTTGCTCTCGGACTCTCTACCGCGTGGTCTCGAGGCGTCGCTGCAGTGCTCCAATTCCAAGGCGGATCGCACGTAACTGAAATACAATGTTCCAACAGCCACTCGGTCAGTTTTGAATTTTAGATAGGCAAGACTCGCCATCTCACTTACCCACACAGCGGCGAGCACCTCGTCACAAGAGACGCAGTGATCCCATTCGTCAATTTCGCCCACGACTTTGATATCTCGTTCGGATACGGTCCTAGATACCTGTCCAGCTCTTTTATGTTATCTCTCAGCCTCTGAACTGTCTCCTCAGGTACAGCTGTTTGAACATAATACGTATAATCGTATAATACGTTAATATGGGATCTTGCGCTACTAACAATAATCCTGATTGCTTACATTCTGAGCTAATATCTTCCAGCTTGCTGTCCCATCTCTTCGCTAAGAATTCGCCTCTCTGGAAGTCATGGAAGAAGCCAACTCTAGGCGCCAGCTCACCAAACTCATTCGCCGCGCTAAACATAATAAACACTAATAAAAATAAACACCGGGGGTCAATTCGGCGTCTTGCAACATAGTGAAAGCGCTAAAGGTCAGCAGCCTTGTCTCTTCCCAAGGGGACGATTAGAAAGAGACGGAGCTACTCACCCTCAGCATTTTCACTACAGTGCAAGATACGGAATTGACCCACTAAATAACTCAGCGAATTTAAACGGAGTACGTCTGCGTACGCAAGTCGTAGAATTTGGTATCTCGATGTACAGGATTTGGGAACACCAGCGCGTGATTACCTGTAATGCACAAAGTGAATCCCGGGCGGGATCATCTTGATCCCCTTAAAATTCTGCCCTACACTCCAGGACTTGATATCAATACCGACGTCGGTGCCCGCCGGCATGTCCAGCAAAACCAGCGTGGCGCCTTGCGCCAGCAAAGCTTGCGCGACCCTTTGATCCATTTCCATCCCACGCAGAGTTTGTCGCAAACTTACACGGCCAGTATAAATTCCCCGAGCAGACACCGCGTCGTTAACACAACAATATTTACAGCGACAGAATCACGTTACAGCCGTACAGCAAAAGACGTAACCTTGAAGCTCACTGCGGGAGAATAATCTTGCATCCCGAGATACTAAACGTCAATGTGTGTTAAAGGCTCAACATTCCGCAATCGGTCTTAGATAAAACGTAACACAACCATTCGTTACATCTATTACAACCCAGGTAGCAAAATGATATCAATAAATTAATTCGCGTATATGACTCGAGAAGGATTTTATTGACAGGGCTTGTTTCTCACGAACGGAGCGACATCCTCGGTCGCACTTCGAACTTCTCTCAATTCTCCGGCGCGCGATTTAAACGTAGAATACCGACGTATCTCGCAGAATCGGATTATTTAATCAAGAATTAGGCACTACATCTTTCGGTAACATATCATTTTCCGGGATTTTCGAAACATCGTATTTTGTATCCGCGCTCATTAGCCGTCGCGTAATTTCCACAGCTGTGGAGATTAAATTGCGAAATATTGATACAGGCATGTCCGGCAAGGGAAAATCGTCGCAGGGCACCCAAACTCGCGCACCGCCGTCGGAAATCTTCAAACATGCCGGCTGCGAAAACACTATTCCACTCGGAATACCGAAACTGCCTGTAATGAAGACATCGCAGTTGAAATTTTTACCTTTCAATTGCTCCAAATGAATACTTTTTAAGCATGGAGAGCGCGCGTTAAAAAGAGAGCTCTTCAGTTGCTTCATAACACGTGACTTTTAGTTTTCTAAAATGCGCATTTAACGCTTAAAAATAAAATTTCCAACTACGCAAATCTTATACTTCTAGGTATTCGAATCTTGTTAAATTTAAAATGCACAATTACCATCGGACGAAATTCCTAGAGCGATAATTTCATCGCCGACGCTTTCTTTGTGCCATAACTTTAATAGATCACATATGGCCCGGCATTTTCGCAAATTCTCTTTTTGTGGATCTACTTGACGTTGAGTAGTGATCTAATTGAAGATTTAGATATTCTTTAGATACTGTCATATAAAAAAAACAACAAAAATATATACGTATGAGCCAAAATGCCAAGATCTCGTAGTTACCTTACGCCGTAAATAATCTCCGTACCGATTTTCATTATCTTTGAAAGAACAAAACCATTTCAATCCGGCTTGCTCGACCCCTGGCAACTTCAATGTACTTTCCTTCGCTTCTGCTGAAGTATCGCCTTTTCCTAGACTGTATATATTACGCTTCTGAACCATATGGCACACATCCACGAATTGACTGATGCCTACGATTCGCAGTAGTGTTCAATATATATTGCAAATTTTCATAGGCCGGTATCCACGTTTAGATCTTACGTAGACCGTTTTAAGCCCGGTAAAAATTTTTGTATGCACGAACATGCATAAATATATAGTATTGTATAATATACATCAAATATGTCCATATTTTTACATTGTATATTTCTGTATAATTCTGTACAATTCTAACACAGTTCCATATAATTTTATAGATTTATACATGCTTTTATACGAACAATTTTAAAAAGGAAAAAATTGCTCATTTAATCAGTAGATAATAAGTAAGCAATTTCTCGCATTAAAAAACTCTTCGTATTAAAGCATGCATAAATCTATAAAATTATACAGAACTGTATCGAATTGTATAAAAGTATACATATAGAAATATACAATGTAAAAATATGTGTGGATATATTTGATGTACATCTTTACATAATTCTATATTTCTATAATCATGTTCGTGCATGAAAAATTTTTTACCGCGAGTTTATCTTAAGATGCTGTATGGAACGTTTCATTGGCTACGGAGTATCATAAAGATGATCTTAAGACGATCTTAAATATAAGACCTGACTATGAATATCAGTCACACTGTCTTAACAGATCAAATAAATATATGACCGGATACTGCACCAACCCAGAAATCCCCATACCGGGGGACAGCCGAAATCCCGCCGATCTGTGTCAAGAGACTCTGTCATATCATGTACTACTTCTAATCCGTAGTGAGCGCTAACAACAACGACACTCGTTTCGGGTGACTTCGCTGCGAGATTCCGCAGGATGGTAGCGCAGAGGCACGTCGGACCCGCGGAGCAGAATACGATCTTAATCTGACATGGGGCGTACTCGTTAATTTGCTGCGACAATGTCTTCATACGGTCGTAATTCTCCCGATACCAAGTATCGTGATCCTTGCACTCTTCCCTGAAAATATTTTTCTATCTCATAATGGTCTCGGAGAACGAAGCGTCTATCTTATTTCTAAATCTCGCAATAATTACCACGGCGAAAATTTTTCTCAGAATTTTCACAGAAAGATTACTTTCAGAAACACTAAGAAAGTCTACTTCTTTTCCTAGAATTTTTCATGTATATATTCTGAAATATTCTATTTCTAAGATTTCTCATTCTATAATTTCTAAAAATGTATCTTAAACTTTTTCAAATCTTATAAGATCACGTCTGAAATCATAGAATCGGAAATCTTTTAGAAATCTCAGAATGTTTCAGAATTCATTCTTATACAAACTTTAAAGATTTTTCTATTTCTGAAAAGTTTATTAATTTGTATAAAAAGATCTGAAAATGTTTGAAATATACATAAAAATTTTTAACCAATTCATAAAGTTTATGAGGCTCCCATGTGATAAACACAAATTCGAAGGAATAAAGACTAAAACAGCCATGACAGGGTGTTAGTGTCTAAATAATTTGTACGCTATAATTCTGAGAAGAATTTTCATCAGGGTATTTTTTAAATAAGCTTGTTATGAGCTTTGTTGAATCCTACATACCTCGTCATATCCTCAAGAAATATTAATATATCACAGTCGCGTAATCCACTTGACATATCTCGTACGATCATTGCATTTAGATCTTCATCGACATTCCTTAGCTCCTTCGTTATCCTCTCAAGCTTAGAGAAGTTTTCCGGTTCGTCGTACAAACTGAAGACAATTCCGCGTGACAAATGCAACTCCCTTATTGCTGTTAATTGAGAAATCAAGTCTAAGCACAGCGATCTACCGGCGCCTACGACGGTCACGCGGCGATATTCTTTCTTTATTTCTAAGCTGCCAATTTTCCGTTCCACTTCGTGTGCCTGCGCAACGGGAATACAAGAACAATACAAGACGGAATTGTTAATCGTGTCTTTTCCTAATTCGCTCACGCGCAACAGATCCGTTTTCAACATTTCCAATTCCTCTCTCGTAAGATCGAAACGTATATTGTAATATTCGTGTAAGAGTCCGCGAAACTTGTCAACATCACCTATGTAAGTGACTTTGGTGCCACTTATTCCGCATTGCTTCCATATCAAAGGAGGTCTCGTATGTTCCCAGCCGTGCAATTTGCAAACTGCACGAACCCAAGACTAGAAATGATTAGAATTTAAAGGCAATGTTATATTATCTATAAGGAGTCAAGTCAAAGGAAGTGTTGTACCTCCCATTCCGTGACATCTTTACAAATTTTTTGGAAATGGAAATTCGGCAACAACCTGGAAAGATTTAGAGCGATGAAGCACGCGTAGTGAAACGATAAATTGTCCACAGTTCCTGCTATCACGATAAAACATTTGTTCGACATTGCTAACAGTTCAAAAAACTGACATATCATTTCGTGTATACTGTATTCACACGTATGAATGTGTGTACGTATTGTTCTGCACATAAAAACTAAAATAAAAAATATCATTTAAAGATCTAATTTTAATTATTTATTCATATATAAATTTACAATTTATTTTGGATATATTAATAACAGAACACTTAGTAACTAAGATGACTGAGAAATTGGAGCGTAAAGATTAAAAAAGTACCTAAATTATGTTATCTTTATTACATAAATATCATAATAAAACTGCATCTTATGTCAAATCTTTTTAAGGTAACTTAACGAGTATTTAATTATTAAATTATTATAGTGTCCTAGCCATAAGTAAAAACTACAAATATCAATTACAGAAAATAAATTATTAAAATACTGATTGAATCTTAAAAATATCCACTCTTACAAAAGAAATTACGATATTAAAGTAATTCTTATTATAGCATCATTACAGAGTTTCACTATCAGACACGTCAGACACTTCGGGCAAGTTGGGAGACAGAGGCTCTTCGTTGAAAGACTTATCGACAACAAGTTTCGGAATATCTAAGAATAAGTTTTCTGAATCTAGAAGAAAAATCAAGAGTTGATAAGCAAACGTGCATTATAAATGTTACTGCAATACCAAGCTTCATACCTGACAGAAATATATTTTTGTCGCTAGGCTTTATGTTCTCCTTTCCCTTACAGAGCAGATGTTTAAATTCATTTTCTACCGCCTCAACGTATCCGTAGTCTGTAAAAATTATTTTGTGCTTCAGACTTGAATAACAACCAAATTGCAAATTGCCTATTCCTTTATCGAATAAAGATGAATTGTTCATGTACCAAAATCATGTTGGTCGTTACACCAATACGCCAATTTTTCCGGTTTGGGAGTCCTCCTAATATTCTTCTTGGGGAGCAGTGGCTTCTTAAAAACGCCATCGTTCAATTGCTTTTTTGTACATTTATTGCTATCTTCTTTCGGGGTAGATTCTTTAAGCTTGAACGACTGAGCGGTTAGCTTCTACAAAAGAAATACCGTCAATAATTTGCAGCAGACGAAGAAGTTCAATGTTTTTAGCTTCCCTCTAAAGATCTTCTAAGGTTTAAACGACAAATTCTACCATAATTATATATAATACGTATTTTCTTTTCATTTCTACTGAATATACATTTATACATATACCGAGTATACTAGGCGATGTTTCGCGACTGTTTTGTACATATACCAAAGTATACACCCAGCGTCACGAGTGCCTTTACACCTGAAGAAAGACTAAATATTTCCTATCCAATAGGAAAATTTATTCTAACAAAATGAACTTTCCTATCGGAACGTATTAAACTTAACGACTATTTTCAGGTGTAAGAGCATTCACGATGCCGAGTGTACGCTTTGGTATATGCACCAGACCATCGTTAATAATCGCCTATACCGAATATACATTTATACAAGCTTTACTACCTTTGTAGGCGTTTGTTTCCCAGGAGATATCGGACGTCCCTTATTATCGACTTGCGTTGCTCTCAATTTTAAACAATCCTGTTCCTTATCATGTGTACTTTTCCTGGCCGAGTGTATGCTCGATATGTTCATATCAGAATTAGATCTTATCGACAGTCCTTTCGGTTTCGCACCTCCCATCGTCTTCAGGGAATTCACTTTGATCTCGTTGGACGTCTTTGATCGTGCCATGGGCTTTATCTGACCTACAAACAAGTCGATACATTTTAGCATTTGCTCTAACGTGCTTGCAATGTTTCCTATCCATTTTCTTAAGAGAGCGACAGAAAGAGCCGAGAGATCCTCTCGTAGCTTGTCACGTATGCATTTCTCTCTCAGTTTGTACAAGAAAGAATGCAAGAGCGCGAGAAAGAAAGGTACAACATCTTTTGGAAGTGAAGCATCTTTCAAAATAAAATTGCTCGGTTTAGGACGCTCCAGACCCTCTACAGTTCTTTGCAATCCTCTTCACCAACGAATCACCTTACGCCAAGTATTTTTACACGAAAGAATAGAAAGAAAGTGTAACATTTCTTAGACGTTAAAGTGAAACATCTTTCAAGATAAAAACAGCTCGGTTTAGGACGCTTCCCCGAATCCTCGGCAATCCTTTACAATCCTCTTCACCTCCTCGGTTTATTAAAAACTTATATACCGAAAATAGAGATGCACGCCCCAGAGACGCGACGTATATTTTCGGCTGTAAAAGTTGGAGCCGTAGAAACAAAGTCTCGCTCACCTCCGTCGGACTCGGCGAGTCCGCCCAACAAATCGAATATGCTGGACATGTTGCCGCTGTATTACTATTCGGAAACAGCGAGATCGAGACCACGATCGCTCGTGCCTTCACGTTCAGTTATCTCCGCGCGATTTTCCTCTCAAACTCTAATTAACGTAGGTACGAAGTAACCTCGTCGCTCGCTCACTCGACATTTGAACACAAAGGCAACCGTTTATCGTTTATCTCCGCACGCGCAATAGCATCCGCTTGATTTGTCTGTGTGCTGCGTTCACCGAAATGATAGGTAGATGGTCGTGTGAAGCCTAAAAAAAAGAGAGAGAAAAGAAAAGAGCCATCTATCCAACGAATGGATCAACTACGAGTGGCGCCATTTTAGAACCATCGTTGATAATCTAGTTGTAAAATCGAGCTCCTTTTTTAATCCTTTTTAAATCAAATATTATTATCATAATAATAGAGGAAAAGTCCCATATTACGTGATAGGATCCTGATATGAGACCGCGCAGTCATTAATGGACATCATATGTTGGTTCCACTATGAATTTATTGCCCTCGGTGTGGTCTATTTCAGTGGAAAATTGATTGTCGGTTCGTGTAATCGTTGCGAAAAAAGATTTGCGATCGAACTTGGACGTTGAAAACCTGCTATCTCGTATTAGAATCCTATCTTATAATAGAGGACGTTCCTCTACATTAAATAATAAATATATATAAATTACTATTGTATAAAACATTATATCAATATACAAAAAAGAATTGAATGTTACATTTTTCAAGACACTGGAGAAAAACAAAGTTTCGAATGAAAAGAAAAGTGAATGTGGAACGGTTGTAAAATCCATTTGTACTTTATAAAATTTTAAACTGCGCGTGCAATCGTCGTAAAAAAAACAAAAATCGAAGGTTGTGATGCTTAAGAAAAAGTTATCTTCGTGCGAGGAGAAAAATGGATAAAACGCAACGTTTGCACAACTGCATTTGGAACATTTAAAAGTTATCCGTCAATGATAACGAATACTAAAGATAAGCGCGTATCTTCCTCTTGGAAGAAACGGATCGCAATTGGATGGACAATCAATCCAGCGGAGGGAGCTGTTTTAGAGAAGCAATCACTTTAACATGTCTCATGTAAAACAATATATATCTTTATTGATAATATACTTTATTAAAAGAGACAATGTGTGCACTGTCAGTAGCAAATATTTCATATAAACAAATCATTCTTTGAGATGTATAATATATATTTGTATAAGTTTATGTATATAATGACCTATCACGAATATTGCATAAGCATTATACAAAGGCCATTATAACAACAGAAAGCTACCAACTGTTTACAGTGGAATGCTTTAAAACAGATCTGTCCAATCGTCGACGTTGAGCTCACGCACTGCCAACTGGGCAGATCTGCTCGTGGAGAAATCTGCATGACAAATCATTCGTGTGTTTATATACAATTGTTTACTATATACACATAGACGAAAGAATACATTTGGAAGAAAATGGTACAAACAACCGTGTTAACAGAAACGGGTACACGCTCGGTACGCGTAATAAAGGACAAGTACAAATTTGTTCTCTTCTTCCTGATTCGTAAGTTTGATTAGACAGTTCGCAAGATCGTTCCTCGGGGCACAGTATCATTTATTTTGTACGTTTGAGCACACTCCCTTCGTCTATGCGTAGCGCAATTAAGTTAAACGCTTATAAATGCTAAGTGTTATAAATAAATTCTTTGAGCTTCTTCTGCAAAAGGAAAATAATTTTTCAGCTACTGCCTAAAAAACATTTGCCACGTTCCACCATGTTTCCCGTAATCTCCGATCTTTTTTACAATCTATATTAAAACAGTTTGTCAGTCTCTTTCGCATATCGACGAGTTGTAAATGGTTTGTCGTATAAAGATCAACAGCAACACCTTCCTTTCCCTCATCCTCAAGCCATTCTGATACTCTGGATGATTTGAAACACGGCTGCAACAAAAAATGTCTCTCTTTAATTCAAGTGTGCTTTGCAAGAAAAACCTTTAAGCGCAAATGACTGATAGGAACTTGATGAACAAATTTATACACTATCGCAAACACATTGTGCATAAAGTTACTCCCCCAACTTCCGTATCCTCAATATATTTGGCATCTGTACATTTCACTGTGCCCGCTATTTGGCTACGCATAGAATAAACAAAAATCGTTATGCTTTTCGAGTCGGTATTTATAGTCCATTCTTATTTCAAGACTGTCTTAAGTAATCTTTTAAGATGCCAAGTTCTGCGATTGGTTTATAGTATCTTAAGATTGTACTTAAAACGGTCCTAAGTATAGCAATGAACTAGGAGTACCGTTCATAGGGCAGTATTCATAGTCGGATCCAATATTTAAGATCGACATACTTAAGATTATCTTTAGACACTCCGTAGCCAATAAAATGTTCCCTACAGCAACTCGAGATAAACTCAAGACGGTCTTAAACATAAAACTCGACTATGAATACTGGCCAGTCCTTGTTTCTTCTTTCAAGACTGTTTTAAATATAAGAATGAATACTGGTCTGCTTTTGTCGATTGGCTACGCATTTCTCGGAACTAGAGCTTGGATCAAGTTCTAGCACCGTGGACACAGGCCTCAACGTCTCGAGATTGTACTTAAGGTGGCCTTAAATATAAAAGCCAATCGGATGCTTTGTTGCTTGCGCGCACCTTTACCAGCTGGTCAGAGCCAATCAGGATAAAATCCTACGTTGTCTGACCTATTACGTGGAATCCTGATTGGCTCTGACCAACTAGTAAAGATACAAGCAAAACAGCATCGTGTGCCGCTAGTTTGAGTCACAACTATGAATACATCTTGTCACATTGCAAGAAAATGAAGATTGGAGAGCAACTACAAAGATAATAAGGTGTTTGCTTGCCTCTAGGCGTTGAGCCAAGTTTCATTGCAAATTGACATAACTAGAGTATCACACACACATATATACACTTACCAGATCCACAAACGACAAAGAGAAACAGAGCTAACAGCCAGGGTCCAACTGGAGATCCTTCCTCTTGCGACTTCTAGCGTAACAAAAGTTCGTTTTAGCCGCGGGCATGAATATTGGGCGACAGATAGTACACGTACGCGGAAGTGGAGAAGTATCGGGTACGCCGGGCGCACGTCCGTTTAAGTAAACACGCCAAGCATATGGATAAACAAAACCAACATTTCAGCATTGTTCAGCAACCGTCCGGCGAGCGTCGCGACAAAATATTAACAGACGTCAATAGATTAATTCAATAGATAAATAAATTAATTGATCAATCCACGTAAATTCACGTCGGTTATCGACATGCAACGTAAAAGCCACTTTACATATGGCAGGCCTCTGTTGACGCGTGCACGATTCTTTCGCCACGAGGACGCAGGGCGACAGACTGAACGAGCGGTCTCGGCGATTCGCGCGACAAGTCAAACGTCGGACCGAACGGCCGGCCTCGTTTGACAGCCATCTGTCAGGAACGTGCGTCGCCTATAACCTCAATATCCCGGAGTGACAGAGCCACGCGCGCGATTCTCGCGGGCGCGGAGAACCGCCGCGATTCCCCGGTCGCGCGTACACGCCGGATCTTGCCATCTCGCCCAACCTCACCCTCGTCCATATGTTATTCCGTCGGGGCGCGCGCCGGGTCTCCGCGAGGGATCGTCCCCTCGCGGAGTTTCCGCCGGGGTTTCTCCGCGCGATTTCGCAGCCGTGTCGAGAGCCGCGTGGCCGAGCGGCCCGCTCGGAGAGTCGCGCGAGATCGCCAGCGGCTCAGCGCGCGGCGAGGACTCACCGACGACTTGGGTACATTCCCGCGTAGCGTGATGTTCTTCGTCGCCTTCTCGTTCGCGATGCGCATCCGCTGCTTCGGCGCCATCGTCCGTCCGATTCCCCCGAGGGTCGGCAGCAGTCACGGCAGCAGAGACGAGAGTGCCAGGCCCCGTCGACGGACCACCGTGTGTGCGCGCGTCCGCGAGACGTGTAATGTAACGCAACGCGCGCGCTGCCTACGTCCGACGTTCGCCGACGGCGCCGACGTGTGCGCCGTGTGACACGTGAAGCTGCGGCGCTGCGCGACAGCCCGCTCCCTCGTGCCACACTGTCACCACCGTGGTCGACCGAGCGTATTCCTCGCGCTCGTTCGCGGCGACCGACGTCGCTCTCTCTCCCTCGGCGAAAACGATGTTTATTCCCGGGCGTGAGCACGTTAAAAAAAAAAGAGCGCAAAAGCAAAAAAAAAAGAGAGAAATCAAGCGCCCGCCTGAAGGGGGGAATGGACTTCCGCTATGTCGCGGCGGGAAAATTTTGATTTTTCGATATAAGGCGCGACGCGTCGTATTAAAGGCCGAATCGGACTAGTGATAATTGCTGATTGGATTGGGATCCGGGGGGGGGGGGGATAAACTTTCTCCTGAGAAAACCGGGGGCGATTTTCGCCATCTGCTCTATAGTCTAGTTTACACCGATCATATTTGATACGCGCGTGTCAAATAGTATATTTCAGCCGATCAGCCAACGACTAAATACATTTACTAGTTATTTGCTATTTGATACGCGTATCAAACAATCGGTGTAAACTAGGCCTATGACCCGGAAAGGGCGAACTAAAGTAAGTCACGTGATAATGCGTGATAAGTCCCAGTCTACAATAGAGATTTAAGCCCTAAGCCTTAAGAAATTGACTAATGACAGTCGCGCATTCTACTCATACTTGACCGTGATTGGCCAATTTCTTAAAGCTTAGGGCTTAAATCATCTATTGTAGACTGGGACTTAGTCCCGGTCTACAATAGATGATTTAAGCTCTAAGCCTTAGTACCCATCTACAATACAGATTTAAAGCCTAAACCTTAAGAAATTGACTAATCACTGTCGCTTAATATACTCATACTTGACCGTGATTGGTCAAATTCTTAAGGCTTAAGGCTTAAATCATCTATTGTAGACTGGGACTTAAGAAATTGACCAACCACGGTCAAGTATGAGTAGAATACGCGACTGTGATTAGTCAATTTCTTAAGGCTTAGGGTTTGAAGTTTCTATTGTAGACTGGGACTGATTTTTGAAAAATATATATGAGACCACTACCGTCACTGAAGCAATTTGTTGCTTCAGAATTGAAATAGTTAATTACTTTTGGTACCTTGATTGTGGCGCGGAACCGAAAAGCGTATTTTGCGTCTTGTATCGCTCGTTAAATGCGGAAATTACGAACGATATAACTTTTTGTCGGATTTAAACAACTCGAGAGACAGACACTCGTGAAAATTTGGTTGAACTGTCCGATATGCAAAGCGTACAGAAATCGTCAGATACAAAATATAGTACGTGCAATTCTTTTCAAACAAGAAACGTAAAGCGAGATTCCCACGAATCTGTCGGAGCGCAAGAAAAGGAGCGGAGATGCGATCGTTGTTGTGTACGTAGAAATTTTATATATTTTTTTTTTCAGAATCGCTACATCTAACAACAAATTGTTTATTTTCGAAGACTCCCACCAACATTAGTCTCTCGGTAAAATCGCTGAAACGTAATACTCTCATCGTTATATCTCTTACTTGGGTACCTATCTCTAATTGCGTTTGCGGAATCAACTTCTCGTCTCTCGACAGCGCTCGACTTGCGTGACGCGGGTGACTGCCCGCCCGCGGAAGAGAATCGTGAGCGTGGACTCATTCGCGAATCCTACAGGCGGAAATGTAAAGAAAGGACAATGCGGACGAGATCCTAAATCAATGCGGCCGTCGTGCCGCAAGCCCAGATCTCGTATCGGCATTTTGCGTCACAATTTCTGCTTCCTAGGGTCAGAGCACAAAGCAACGTAGTAGCTTACGACAAAGACGTAGGCGTAAACGTAGATTAGCGCACAAGCTTTGGCGTAAATGTAACGTCATATGTAATTGGAGGTAAGTACGACATACGCCAAAGCTTGTGCGCTGATCTACATTACGCTTACGTCTTTGTCGCAAGCTATTACGTTGCTTTGTGCTCCGACCCTTACTCCGAAACGTTTAGCTTAACGACAAGAGATTTCCGTTGATAATGAAACGTGTAATCGGTCAGTCGACTCGGCAATCGCGAGACCAGAAAACGATTAAGTCACAGCTACTCCAATACACTGTTTACGTATCAACGAAAGAGTCTCGTAAAACGATGAATTGAATAAATTATAATGCATTAACGTCTAATTTACCGCAGTTTATTACAATGGCGTTTTCAAGAGTCGGAAAAAAAATATTTTGCATCATAATTTTTTTTTTATACTTCACTGTCCGAGCTGGAGCCTCGAAATGAAAAGCAAATCGAGACTCCTTGATTTTTGTACGATGGTGAATTTTGTGTGCCATTCACAAGCGACACAGCGAGAGATATTCACGATAAAGAATGATCGCGACCGTGCAATTATATTTAATTATATATATATTTATATATATAATTAATATATATATATTATGCTATTTTTTTAAATATATATATTAAATAAATATATATATATGATTATTATACAATCTTTTTACCGGCATACTTGGATCAATAAAAAATGTATGAAAACATTAAATTTGCACGATTGCGAAAGTTTTTGTTCATACAATAGCTCGGACTCGCACACATGGGATTTGACTAACACTTACAATTATTATTTTATTATTGACAGGTGACTGCATTTGCGCCACGCGCACGTGTACTAATATAGTAGGATCCGTTTACAGCGTATCTTTACTTGCATCGAGTAGCGAAACAACCGGAAAGAAAACGGACAAACGAACGAATATGGAGATGAAGACGTCCGAATATTGAACGATAGATACGCGCGACGGCGTAAGTTCCGTTGGAAGAGTAATAATACATCGAAGGACACACGTCGTGCCGCTTCTACGGCGGATATTAATTAAGTCGACGGTGAGTAAAGCTGAAAAACAAGAATCGCACTCTCGGGCGACGTGACGGACAGCTGCTTCGGACAAGTAACGTATATACTTCATTACGTCGAGAGCAGCGAGTGTCGCGCGCGCAATTTTAGGAATTACATCGTACGGTCCACGATGCGAATACTTCAATCATGTACTTTTAATCTATCTTGACCGTGGAATATATCTTTCGCACGAATGCGTTGGTACCGATATACCCGACTGTTCCGCACATGATACCCAGGGCCAAGCTGAACAATGCCATGTAGCCGAAATAAAACGCCGTTTGGAAGAGACCATACATCCTGCGAAAGAGAAGGCACGAATGTAAATGAAACCTGAAATATCTGCATCCGTCCAACTGCTTACGAGAAGCGTGTATCTACTCACTTAGTTTTGAAGAAGAAGTAGTAAAAGGAATAAATGTAGACGTAACCGGCCGTCGAAGCCGCCGCGAGAAAACTCGTCCACTGCCTGCGGATACAATATTTGCATTGTACACGAGAGAGAGGCAAAGTGTGCATGATGTTAACTTACCATCGATAGTCTTCGGCGTTCAGCAGGAAATATGTACATACGATGGTGACGCATACCGTCACTATCATGAGAATAACGAACACTAGTAACATAAAACCGTAGACGTAGTAGATCTTGTACGCCCAGAATGAGGTAAAGACGAAGTACCTGGAAGCGCCGACACGGGTGTGTGAACGAGTGACTATTAGACAAGTAAATTAAGATAAAGTGACCCATAAACTCCGTACATCTCAATGAAGATCGAACCAAACGGTAGGATCCCGCCGAGCATTATGATCACCAGCGGTTCCATGAACCACTTCTTCTCGGGTATTGGTCGAGGCACTGCGTTGACGCGGCACGGTGCGTCCGGTGTCCCAGCGAGATTACGGCCTAGAATGGTACCTACCAGCGTCAGCGGTAATATCACAAATATGCAGATACACGTCACCGCAACCTGCGCACGTACAATTGACGCGAACGTATTAACGTGAATTGGAGGTACACGCGGCGGGAACGATCGAGTTGGAATGTGCGGCTACGAACCATGGATCCGAAAGGTATCGCTCTGCTAGCGTGGTAATACATGGCGATGAAATTGATGAAGAAAGCGGTGCCGCAGACCATGACCGGCAGCATGAAGGCGCTAAGGATCATCTGTTTGATCCACACGCGTCCGCCCATCCGCGCGTACAGTCCGCCGCCCGTGTAACCATTGACGGGCGACGTGGCGGCGTATACGAATATCGCCGTTGACAACATTGAGCCACGCTCTGTGTAGAGTTCGCCGAGGATGGCGAAGATAATGACGCTCAACACCACCACCGTGACCTTTGTACACAAAAAATAGAAACTGCTCACAAGTCTTCTGGCCTAGGGAGTTAAAATATAGAGATGACTTATAAAGCGTACCTGATAGCCTGCGCCTATGAGGGCCGAGAAAAGCATAGCGTGACTCGCAGGCCTGAACACGTCTCCGTGTACCTGTTTCCAACCGTACTCGTCGCCCAAATCCCTCTCCATATCGTCCATTTCCTCGTCCCTGCTGTATCTAGCATAATCCTTTCTCAAAGTGCGCATCAAAATCATCGAGACAAGCCCGACGAGAAAAATCACCATCATGAAGCTGTTGAAGATGCTAAACCAGTGTATCTGAAAAAGACAAAAGAGAGATTTGTACGTTTATACAGCGTCACAACACCGTCGCTATTTACGTTCTGCATTCGTTAATTCAAGTAAGGATGCCATACGAACTTACTCTGTGCTGAAAGAAATTAGGATCCAGATACTTGTCGAATCTATCCTCAAATTTGATATTACTCTTTTTCCAATTGACCTCATAGCTAAAAGATATACGCGCGCCCTGCACCAGCTTCACTCTGTTGTCGCTGGTGAGATTAACATCCACTATTTGCTTACCGTTGTATCCGATATCAAACTTTTTATGCGCCCAGATGTAATAGGAATCTGATACCGCGACTCCGTCATTGTTCTCCATCTCTCCTACAACGCCTGTGAAGCACAATTCGGACGTTAGGTGTAGACACGGCGGTTCCGTCGCCTCGATACGGCGAAAGGTTACTCGTGGTTAATTACCCCATATTGGTAAGTCATCGATGTACATCTGATACCAATACTGATTCTTGATCGCGTACGCAAACGCCTTCTGGCTCTCCTCGTTTAAACTTATCTGGCAGTATTCTGTCTTGGAGATATCCTCTGAAACATCCCACTGAACTTTCACAATTCTTATACGTCTCTGAACCAACGGCACTGGCCGAGCCAATTGCGCGTTTGTGCCACTGTCAGTCGCAAGTACGGGAAAGTCCTCCATTATGAGATGGGATTCCAATGTGAAACAGTAGGTTTTCAACGTTTGAATTCATTTCCACGAATCAATTTTCCACCAAAACGATTTCGCTCCAGGGGCAACAAATTCACGATTGGGACCAACAGATGGGATCCGCTGTCTCATAATAGGGAACTTTCCTCTGTATACCCCGACATACTGAATGCACACCTTTGAATTCGATATCTAAGCCACTGAACTTCAGCTCGATACCCTGCAGAGCCTCCGCCAGAGTCTCGTGGTAGTGATTGATGACATTCTTGGTGCCTGTACAAAAGGGTAGGGAGTAATACGAGTACGTCTCCTGGCGATTGTGATACGGCCCCACGGTGCTCATCCACAGTACAACTTCGTCGCCATCCTCGTACTGTAAAAACAAACGCAGCATGTCTGTACCCTTGATACATCAATGTCCAGCTGATCCAAGTCACATTCTGACCCGCTTTGCGAGAAGGAAAGAGCCGAGGAATACAGAGCGGCGCGACTGTGACAATTAGGTGCAATGACAAAACGGACTCTCTTTTTCCCCCCCGATACCGTATCGATGCGTAGCAGGAGGGGGAGAGGAACGGGGAGACGTAGGAGCAAGATAACGTAACGAGACGTTTGGCATTTAAATGCCAACAGCAGGACCGCTGGCGAGGTGACATTCCAGGTCGGAGCGACGCCGCGTCTCGGCGCCGCCGGCGCGCGTATACTTACGACGTGGTTGTGCTCGTCGGCGCGGGTCGCGGGCGCGAGGAGGCCGAGCGCCAGTAAGCAGAGCAACTGCCGTCCCCGACGCATGTTTGTCCGTTCCTGATGGCAGCGAGGCGCGCCGACCGGCCGGGCGCCCTTTTACGCGTACGCGCGAACGAGAGGAGAGGATCCCACCAGTGAGACGCGGCGACGGCGGACAATCCCCATATAGATTTCGTAATGTGTGCCGCGCGAGCAACGGCCCAGGGCACAGTGACAATACGTACAGGCGGGGAGACACACGGGGACGCACGGTGACGGACGGACACGTATCAGGAATGCCGGAACGATGTATTATGTACGTGCACCACGGCCGTGGATACGCGGGTTGTGTCGATTGAGAGAGAGAGAGAAAGAGAAAGAGAGAGAGAGGTTACCTTGCCAGTCGCGTCGCCAGGTGCCGCTCTCGCGCCTCAAGGCGCGTCCTTAAGAGGATGCTAAAGTCATCTGTTTTACCGACACATTCGAATATAGTTTTTGCGCTGCTGAATCTTTTTATTATAGTTTTTACGCCTAAAATAATACCAGGATAAGTTGCGGACCGCATAGCAGAACGTTTTTATACTTTAAACACTCGGGTCAGAAGTCTAATGAGAAAGATATTGATATTTGAGATTTTCGATTTTTTAATCGTGAGCAATTTGAATTTGGCTTTATGAAATTAGAAAATTCTTCCACGCGATTACAGTACGCGTAAAAACAAAGCGGGGGGTTCACGACTTTATATAAAAAACGAAGAGAAATTAAAAATATCAGCATGTGAAGCCTAACCCACAATTACTTATAAAGCGATATTTTTAATTTCTCTTCGTTTTTTATACAAAGTCGTGAACCCCCCGCTTTGTTTTTACGCGTACTGTAATCGCGTGGAAAAATTTTGTAATTTTATAAAGCCAAATTCAAATTGCTCACGATTAAAAAATTGAAAATTTCAAATACCAATATCTTTCTCATTAGACTTCTGACCCGAGTGTTTCAAGTATAAAAACGTTCTGCTATGCGGTCCGCAACTTATCCTGGTATTATTTTAGGCGTAAAAACTAATAAAAAGATTCAGCAGCACAAAAACTATATTCAAATGTGTCAGTAAAACAGATGACTTTTTTCATTGCGCACTTTCGGACTCTGCCGATAAAATTTCCACTTGGCGCACGTCTGGTGCTACGGCATTCCGACATCTCATTTGTAAAATTTACATTGTCTACGTGAGAAAAGTTTATGTAAATGTCAGGCGGATAATTTTGAATTTCACCGCACAATCCCGAAAAGCTACAGTAACAAAACGGAATAATTGAAAAATTATTCTGAACGAATAATCCCAACGAATGCTCTAAAAACGTTCTTCTTTGTTATGAATATTCGATTGAAATATTTGCACTCCAGACGAATATTCGTAGAACTATGCGTGCTATCTGGGAATGCAGTTAAGAAAACAGAAATATTCATTTCAAAATGTGGGAATTCAACAAGATTTTCTTTAGATTCTTAAATTTATTGTGCTGTCTGGAATAATGTCAGCTAGGAGACTGCTAAGATATAAATTAATTTATGTAAAAAAAATTGTCACATGAAACAAATTATCGTTTGCTCCCACTGGGAGCATAAACTATACTAAAAATGTATATTTATATTTATATCATCTATAATTTACGTAACGTAAAAATAGTAAAAAAATGCAATAGTTAATAATTAAACACAATAAAATATATTGTAGTTATATCGTCATCTGCAATAATGTTAAAAATTGTTTATATGTCAGTAATTGCTACTCATTACGCACAAACAATGTTTTTTACATAAATTAATTATCAAGTCCTAACATCCAAGATCAATTCACAGTAACACAGTAAATCATTTAGAGAATTGTTATCAGGGGAGCCACCAAATTTTTTTGAAGCGGGAAAATAAACTGTTGAATTTCTAAAAACAATACAAATTGCATTTCGCAGGTGCATGGAGATAAGCGTGTATAAAAATTAATAGTTAATCTAAACAGTTAGAAATAGGTCGTACAGGCAACAAATTCTTTGGCGTAATGTAGAAATAACTATCTTCTTGTTTTTTTTGTTATTTAAAGACGGAAGCTCTTCCTTGCGCACATGTGTCGTCGGTCACTATAGTTACCAAATACAAACGCCGTCGCGTCGAGCTGGTCGAGCACCTCGTCGGACACCACTGGGCTTGTTGACTGGACGTCGAATTGTGTTATAAATTATCACGACCGATTGGCGATCGACACATGGCGGCGAGTAACATAGATGTGATTTTGAACCAGCTGGGATGGCAGGACGGCTTCCGAATTCCCGTAGCCAACGAGGAGAACAAACGTCTGGAGGAAGAAGTAAAGCGACAATTTAGTTCGCCTAGAATTTTAGGAGCCTATTCTGTAAACGTCACGTGCTTTGCGCAACTTTTCTGGTATATTATATCCGCGCAAAACACGTAATGATGCCGTTAACTCTTACAGAACAGCCTCCTTTTGTATAGTCTCGACCGGCAGGATTGCTGGTGGCAGAATTTCTATACGATTCGCTATTCTTAATCTTATCTTTCTTTCGAAGTGTCAAACAAAAAATTAATAATCCTATTTGTGCTAATAAAATACTATTACTCTTTGGCGAATTAATCGCCGTTTACATTGGTCGGGGCCAAAGTCACTTTTATGCGAATCCTTTTATCCTTGCCGGCTAAAGTTTCATTTATTATTAATAATTATTGTATCTAATAATTAATATATCTGAATGTGTCAATTTTAATCATGTACTCGATTCTGTAAGTAAAACACACGGAAAAAGTAATTACATCACACGATAATAAATCAAAGTTAGTTAGTTAATTTAATTAAAAGAATACCTTTAAAAATAACCACAAACATTCTCAACCTTTTGCATGGTCTGGACAGGTTGCTAGAAAGACGAAGCGCAAGCTCTCGTTGAATGCAAAGTTGGAGAGGCTCGAGGAACGGTTGAAGATGATCAGGAAACACGCTGGCGACTTGGCTATGCGGCATGACTTCAATCAGAAACTGCTCGCTGAGCATTCGGTCCAGCTGGAGACAGAGGATCACCTGTATCGGTTGAGCAGCAACACTGAGTCGTCGCTACGCCAAGAGACACGCGAATTCGAAAAGGAATGGACGGATGTGAATCGCAGAGTATCGAACGTGGAGAAGGAGCTGCTTAGGATGACGAGGAAACTGGCCGAGGCAAAACAGACGGTTCAGTTAGACGAGGATAGTTTACGTAAATGGGAGGAGATGCTGTCGCAGAAGGAGGAGGATAATCAGTTGATAGAGGATTATATGAAGCAAGATACACAGAAGTACAAGGTATACAGCAATTACGACGTGTGACAACGATGTGTGTACGATGGTCAAAGTCAAGAATGCATATAAATATTTCTGGACAAGCATTGCGAAAAATTATTCTGGATAACTCGAGATAGTATAAGTAGAGAGAGAGAGATTTGATTGTCATTTACCTTATTTTTTATATTAGAGGAATATACAGGATTTAAAATAAATTAGAAATATTAGTAGAAAAATTGTTCAACGAGGAACCTCCTTGAACACTTAATTGAGACATCGCTAATTTACCTGTTAATATTTATTTTGACAAATTCTAGGATCTGAAGTTGTTTAAGAATCTTGTAAAAATGTTTGTGCAATACTAGGTATGATATTATACTGTTTAGAAATGAAGAAATTATAAAGTTGGGATTTATAATAGAAATAAACAAACGATTCCAGGAGCCAGACTTCTCTACTTGAGGGCTGAGCGATTTTAACTGCTGTGTGTTGTGATGTATAATCACAGAATACAATTTGATCCGTAGGAATTAGAGCAGAAACGGCAGAAACTCAGTATGGAACTTGAGACTTATCGTCAGGCTATTGTAAAAACTGTCGGCAAGGTACAAGAGATGGAGATCGTTCTGGACCGCACGGCAAAACTGTACATGGAAGCATTGAAAGAACGCAGACAGATGATAAATCAGTGGACGCAAAGCGTCAACGTTCTGCGTCAGAAGAACAACGATATACAGAATACTCTAAAGGTCGGAACGGCGTTTTTCTCCAATTTTGCGTTAACCTGGTAAAACATTTTTCATGCATGAACATGAATAAATGTATAGGATTATCATATTTTTACATTGTATGTTTCTATGTAATTCCATACAATTCTACACAGTTCTGTATAATTTTATAGATTTGTACACGCTTTTATATGAACGGTTTTTAAAAGGGTAAAAATTGCTCATTGATAGTTATTGTATATAACTTTGTACAATATATCGTATACAATTATATATGAATATAAATAAGCAATTTTTCACATTAAACAATTTTTCATATAAAAGTATGTATAAATCTATAAAACTGTGTAGAATTGTATAAAATTATATAGAAATGTACAATGTAAAATTATGTATAGACATATTTGATGTATATAATTAATTATATATGTATATTTATTCATGTTTATGCATGAAAAATTTTTTACCGGGACGTTGCTTGAGAAAATACAAATTGTTACAGGAAATCGAAACGTTGCGAGAGATTGGCAGAGAGAAAAAGAACAATCTCGAGGAGGTAGCACAATTTTTAAAAGATCAAGTTGTAAACAACAAGCAGCTGGAGGAGTTGATTAAACGATCGGAGAAGGAACTTGGTGCAATACAAGAAAAACAGTGTAAAATCACGGAGGCAATTAATGTATACGGCATCGAGGTAAAACGACGGAAAGTTTTACATTATATCTTTCATAAAAATATTATCTAACTGTAGTTTTTACATTATTACCTTTGTATATTACATTAGTTTTGTATATTGTGCTAATTTTAAAGGTAACTGCTCTTGACCACTTAATTTTTTTTAATTTTCACACGCTTATATCGGTAATTGTCGACACAGCTTCAAACTCAGAAGAAATTAGTGGAGAATTTGGCACGCCGTACACAACAAATGCGGGCCAATACGAAGCGCAAGAGAATCGAGATGGAGAACAAACGTATAAAGGTGGACAATTGCAAGAAGCGAATCAATGATTTAACGTTGACTTTAGAAGAGATTGAGAGTCAAAAATTAAACGTCGAGGAGAGAACGAAGCGCTTAGAGAAAATGATCGAGGTATACTTCTATTATTGTATAGAGGAAAGTCCTCTATTATGAGATAGGAGTCTAATATGAGACAATAGGTTTTCAACGTCCAGAGTCAATCACAAATCATTTTTCGTAATGATTACATGATCTAACAATCAATTTTTCACTAAACAAATTTCACTCCGAGGGCAATAAATTCACGGTGGAACCAATAGATGATGCTTATTAATTTAGCAGGAACTCCGCTATCTCATATTAGGAATCTATCTCCTAATAGGGGACTTTCCCCTATATATTTAATTATTACAGTATATTTCTGTCGTATGTATATTATTATTACGAGAAGAAAAACCACAAGTTGCTAACAAATCATAAAAAACTTTGACTCAATATAGTGTCTATCGTGTCATTGTCTTTGAAAGATTTAGAGGACTCCTTACAATTTGTTTCAGCACGATGAGAAACGAAAATGCGTGATCATTAAGGAATTGAATCGGCTGCAAAGCGCTATTTTACGTACAACGAAAAGGACTACAGAATTGGAGAACGAGAGAAAGATACTGCAGGTGGAAATGCAGGGAGAACACAAGAAAGTTGATTTGCTCGACGCCTTACTTACGAAGGAGAACAGACTTCTGGGGGAAAAGAAAGAGACTCTTTATCAGGTAGACTTCAATCTGCAGAAGTGCGAGATGAAACTTGAACGAATCAGGGGACACGAGCGCGATAAGAATGAAGCCGAAAAGAAGCAGACGAGAATCGAGGAGCTACAAGCTGTACTGAAAGAGAAAACAGCCACATCTAAGTTGCTGCAAAATCAGATTGTCAGTTTGGAGGTAAAGCCCATTGCATTTGCATTGTTTGAAAAGAATTCCATTAATGTGAGAAAAATAAGAGAAAATTTGCAGGGAAATTATAGAAAATTTAATCAAGTAAAACTTGATCGAAGAAATCTTCTCGCATATTCTTTTTTCTTTGCAGCACGACATGAGAAAAGAATCCAGTTGCTTATCGAACGAAAACAACGAACTCGAACGGTTACGGAGCAAAAAGCAAGATCTATTGTTACTGTTGGACGGGGGCGAAAAGCGACTGAAAATCGCACAATCCCAGAACGAGGAGAGACAAGTGGAAGAAAATATAATGCGCCTTCGGGTGTCGCAGCTCGAGAGGATGACATCGAATGTGAGCGACAAAGTCTACGATTTGGAGAAGTACCGTCTTCATCTCGAAGCTGTGAGTCGTTTCCTGATTTAGTTACTTCGCTAAAATTAATGAGATTAATTGAAGCGTTGGTCTAACAACGGGGGATTTTGTAACATGAAATTGATCACATTTAGTACAACAGTAAATTACAAAGTCAGATCATCTCTACTTGACGTATCCATTCGTTCATCTTTGCTCGCAGGCACTCAAGGAGCGCGCAGCGGAGATCGCGGCGCAGAAGGAGGCGCTCGTCGTGCAGAGGAGGGTCGCCGGCAACGAGTGCTCGGAACTGCGCACTGCTATTGCCGAGAGAAAGAGCAGGATGCGGCAGCTGCAAGCGCGATATGACAGCGGTGTCGCGACGATGGGTGCCACCCCGGATGGGGCGCCGATGAGCACCGCATACTTGAAGATACAGAGCGCTCAAGAGCGATATATGCTGCGGGAGCAGGGCGACAAGCTGGACGAGGCTATCAGACGAACCGAGCAGGAAATACGTAGCATGGAGAACACGTTGCGGGTGGTGAACGTATGTAACGACAAGTACAGGGATAGTGTGAGCGCGGTCGATCAGGACGGACCCGAGTGGACAGAGCAGAGAAGGCTCGACGAGCAGATGCACGAGGCGCGGCAGAAACTACTCCAAAAGCAGACGCAGCTGCAACAATTGTTCGATCAACTGCAGGTATTTTCGCGCGTATAGGGGAACCCCTTTGCATTTGCCAGAAAATCGACGTGTTAAGAAGTTGGGGAAAAATAAAATAATACTTCAACGTGAAATAAGAAAGCTGAAATAATATTTATCAGAATAAGTTGCGAGCGTTTGAACAAAGGACCGACAGTGACAGAAAGATCCGAGAAGTGAACACTGTGACAAAATTTTATTCAATTATATTTTCTAAAGCGTATAAAAGATCTCTATTCTTCCGTTGCAAATAACGCGTCTATCAAACGTTTACTTTGTGTAACATTAAATCAAGTGTAATGGATAAATTTAACTAATAGTAATAAAGTATAAAGAATCAAGATTCCAAATTTTCTTGGGCAGAAAGCGCAGAATAATTATACCCAATCGCTCGAGGATATTGAGAAAGCAAAGGAGGAAAAGGAAAATAAGGAACGTTACTTGTCGGGCGTCGAGAAACAGACGGCAGAGCAAGGAGAGAAGATATCCAGAGCCGACAAGAGCCTTCGTAAGGCACAGAAGGACATACAAAATTTGTATGTCTCTAAAAGGGACGACACCATGTTTCTGCAACAGGTAGATAACAAATGTTAAAAATCCGCCGTTATTTATGCCCTTTAAACGAGCTTACCTCTTACCTTCCAGAGAGAAGTGGAACTGCGCGAGCTTCAAGAACAGAACGCGCTGGTTCTTCAAGACATCGCGGAGTTCACGATTCGCCATGTGGAAGCTGAAGCGTATGTTAAAAAACTGCTGATGGCCAAGAATATCGAGCTACCGTGCTTTCTCCCATCGGTCAGATCGCCTATCAGTCCTTCCGGTAGTTCGGCAGGTTCGGTAGAGCAGCCTTTGAAGAGCACGAGCCGCATGAGCGTCTTCACGTCGTCCAGGGAGAGCATTGGCAGTGTAGTTAGGATAGAGCCGCAATTTGAAGAACGTACGTGGGATCAACAACTGTTAGGATATCGCTCAAATGCTCTCACTCTTTTGATATTTACATCGCGTCGAAAGTTTTATCAATCAATTTTCGATAATTGTATGATTCTTTTAAAGACGAGCATAGAATTTTGTTTATCGAATCTTACTAACCAACGCTAATTCACGTTCCGTTCGACTTTTAGCAGCAAGCACCGCGTCGAGGCGAACTACGAAGCGTGATCCTGCGTCGAAAGAATATCTCGCTTTGTTGAAGCGGTCCGCTACTGCGCGTGAAAAGCAACAACCGTGGAAAAAATCGTGATGGTAATTTCGACGGCGTAATAATCGGAATTGGACTTCGTTTATGTGCTTTGTCAAAACAATGTACGTAGCTTCTTCTTGCTCCGTGTATCCGTCGAAAATTTTTCTCGAATTCTTCGTAGCGTGTGTATGTATTATATTATATTTAATTTACCTATAATATGAAACTGATTTGTCTCGATTACCGCGCAACACACATTACGAGTTTGGCATTTTTATCGATATGTCTGATTTTTTTACGAAATATTACAATTTACAATAAAATACACTTTTAAATAATTCGCGTTTTACGAGACAACGGTAACAGTGGAAACTATGATAGCGGCGCACGCGCGTTGCAGACGAATGGAACTTCCTGTTGCACAGATGTTGGACGCACGACCGATTACTCCAAATTCCCCTTTCCCTGTCTACACGTTCTAAGAGCTACCGGCACTCGGCAGTTCATCACAGTTCATGGTTACACGGTCAAGGATCCACCCGAAGTTTATCGGCAAATTAAGTATCGCGCGATTGTTTGTCAGAAGGAGGCATTGCTCGCTCCGGATTCAACATAACATTTCCAGAATGTCCGAATTAACAGAAGTCGAGAGTAACAAAATTTTCGGCGGATGGCAGAAGGTTTACACGCACAACAGGTGAATATGTGAAATATATGATTCGCAGAGAGGACGGTTTTGTATCGGTGGTCTCTGCGAGGAGTTTGTCCCTGGATTTGCTCTGTGTCGTTCTGAAAAATCGATCGCTCGACAGCACAGAATTGGGATGCAAGATGAGATTCGCTCTTTACGTACCACCCCAGGCTGAGAAGGGGCCGGTGCCGGTTATCTACTGGTTGTCCGGTCTCACCTGTACCGAGGCCAATTTCAGTCAGAAAGCCGGAGCGCAGAGACACGCTGCGGATCACGGCGTGCTCCTCGTCATACCCGACACCAGTCCAAGGGGCTTGAATATTCCTGGAGAGGACGACAGTTACGACTTCGGTACTGGCGCGGGATTCTACGTAGATGCGACGCGCGAGCCCTGGAAAAAGAATTACCGAATGTACAGCTACATTACCAAAGAGTTGTGGACGTTGATCAACAAAGAGTTTCCAACTTTGCCATCTAAACAGTCCATAATGGGCCACAGGTATGGAAAAATGATTCCTTGCCCGAGCGTAATTTTGGGAGTGCAATCCTTAAAGCGCCTCTTCCCTCCTCTCGTTTAGCATGGGAGGACACGGCGCTCTAATCTGTGCCCTTAAAAATCCTGGGCAGTTCAAGGTAGTCTCGGCTTTTGCACCCATCTGTAATCCAGTCCTGTGCCCGTGGGGAAAGAAGGCCTTCTCGGGGTATCTAGGAGAATCCGAGGATAATTGGAAGGAATGGGACGCTACAGAGCTGGCAAAAAAATATAATGGCCCTCCCTTGGACATTTTAATCGATCAGGTTCTAATAATTTTTATTGCATGGCGTGGGTTCATATGAAACCTAATACATTTGGCTTTCTCAATCCTTTAGCTCGAACAATTTGTAATTCTATAACGAAATTTTGGGTGCTTACAGGGTAAAGAGGACCAGTTCCTGAAAGAAGGCCAGCTATTACCAGAGAATTTACTGCATGCCGCGAAGGATAACGGCATCGCGCTTACTATCAGATATCAGAATGGTTATGATCACAGTTATTACTTTATAGCTACATTTATTGAGGATCACTTCAAGTATCATATGGAATATCTTAAAAGCTAAGCGCTTGTGCCCGGAATTATTGTTAAAAAACATTTGATATCGTAGTTTATATTTTTACGAGATGTATTTTCTGTTTTTAATGGATTAATATTGAAATAAATTTGTAAAAAATACTAAATATATTTGCAAGTTTTGCATGAATCATTAATATCATTTTTAAATTCTTTTCTCAGAGTATGATAAATTTGTATATTACAATATATAAAAATGGAGTATAAATACTAAAAATATATAACGCATATCTGAATTTTTGTTCTTTTTCTTTTTTTTTAGCAAATGTCACTGCACGACAATCAAAATTTTACAATTTATGCAGAATATGTCATAAATTATATATATATTTATATAAATTGAAATCTAGATTCAGAAAAAAGGGAAATGTTATTGCGAGCTTCGAGGTTCCCGAAATCTGTGCCAAAGGGTCACCAGAGGTTCCCGTTTTTGCCAAATATTAGCATTGCCCCACGTTTGCCAGAATCTGCAATTTAAAGAAAAATAATAAATTAGTATGGCTCATATGTGTTAAACACAAATTTCAAGAGATAAAGGACTCAGAGCCGTGACAGAAAGTTAAAGAAAAATTATACGATTTATGCCATCACCTGCTCATCTCCTGATTTACATTTCTTGACGAATAATGAAATTATTTTACTAGAAAAATTATCCAGCTTGCTTAAATCTATAAAATAATGCGTACTTGCGTTGATATTTACTTTTTACGTTCACTGAAGCATAGTTGTACGCAAACTGCGTACTTCGCTAGAATTACACTCCGAATTTTATACACATATGCAATAGAACTTACATTCCGAATAACGCGCCGCCCAAATGTGCAGCATGATCGAAATATTTCCATCCTAAGACGCAACCAATAAGGTCCAAGGTCATTATTCCTTTAATTGCCTAGTAGAAAATATAACAAATGTTACTATATCACTGAAGAGCGCACGATATTATTTTCATGTTTGCGCTCATTGAAATATGAAAATTCGGACGAGACAGGATACATACCATACTCGCCGTAAATGCGAACATGGGTAGGAAAATGATATGGAGCCTCGCATCAGGATTTTGTGTGCAGACAAATCCGAGAATGCCCATGATCGCTCCCGACTAAAATAAAAATTAGCTGTAGAAAGTTGAAACCTACCCAATGATAATAAATGTCACACAAAATATGCGAAACCATTATGTGTTTTCAGAGAATATTCCAAATATCTACAATACATGAAGTGTTTGTTACTCTAGTGGTTCAAAATATAGTTACCGCTCCTAGCGAAAGACCCGGCACTCCAAACATAGTTTTATACACGTGACTAGCGAAGCTGGAAAATACACCGCTCGACAGATACAGAGCCAGAAATTGCTCCTTCCCCAACGTCGCCACAGCTATTGTGCTGAAGCTGTGCAACACGTACATGTTTGCGGCCAGATGGAATATGGAGTAATGCGAGAAGGTGGAGAGCACCATGGACCAGCATGATACACCTTACATGAGAATTATCCTGGTCAACGTTCACGATCAATCAGAAGCAAAATTAACTGCTACAGACTTTCGTATTTCGGTTACAAGACGATGCCACTTACTGGAAGCCGGATTTGCGCAAAAGTAGCGCAGCATTGTCCTCTGCAGCGCCGGCACGCGCCAAGCTAAGAACACCATCGCGTTTATAAAACATATAGGCACAAACATCTTCTGTCCCTCGGTCAAATTTCGCCACCACGTTTCCATTTCACCCCTCCATCCTGTTCGCTAACCGATGCATTATTGCACATGTTGAAGTATGAGTCTAACGAGCGTTTCTTCAGATAATACGTACGTTAACTCGAAACTGCCTATACCGATGGATCATTCCGTATGTCTGGCTCCTGATACGTTCGTACTGCCAAATTACAGCACCCGCTATGGAGGCTCCGCTAAACTGGTAAAATAAAAATGCAAAATAACATGAATTATATAACAGAGCTGAAAGTTAGTCGCACATTTCAGCCGGATTCCTGAAGCAACTCCTACTGTCTCCCCACTACGCTCGATATCAATGAAAAAACTGTTAATATTGAGTATAGAAGGGAAGATAGTAGGCGTTGCTTCAGAAATCCGGCTGAAATATGCATCGTCTGTTGGTTCCGCTATAAATATTTATATCATGGCTCCACCGTGGTTATAAGTAAATGATTTATAAATTGTTCTTACTTGACAGCACGTTCGAAATAAGTATACACAGAAATCTTATAATAGATGTCTATAAGCATTGAATCCTATCTTTAACATCATTAACTGTTTTGAAGTAAAATGAAGATTAGTAATGTTTCTTTATTATTGATTAACTTCGTAATTTCTACCATTTTTAACACAGGTCCTTTAAGATATAAAATCAATTAGAAATTAAAGAGGCCGTTTAGGACCGGGCATAGGTGTAAGTGGCCAGTTAAATTAAATTATTAAGTGAATTCATATACCGTATTCTTTCCAACTTATCCTGTGCGCCAGTTACATACTAGTCTTTTAACACAGGTTAATTCCCGTAAGTGGAAGTGTTATCGTCAGTGAATTCACGTTTATAAATTATTTTAATAATGCTATACATTAGCATCTAATATGATAACCCCCTTCCCCCCTTGTTTAAAATACTTATTGCGAAAACTATCACCCCAGCCAGGATTCGAACTTGGAACCTCTCAATCCGTGACGGGCGTCTTATTTGTAATTTCTGTTCGAGACGCGTTTACGTTTCGACATTGTACATTTGATCGTGAAATACGTATATTACTATTCAGCTGCAACATCTAGATAGCTCGTTAAATTATTCGCCGTTCGACTTCAAGATTTGTATTTACTTCACACGAGCGTTGTTATACTCGTTTTTATTCATAATCCCTTTTTTGCAGACACAAATGGTGCAGTGCAATCTGTTTCGCAATCGCCAAATCTATTGTTAAAAAAGGGACTGTGGAGCTCTTTGTCGGTCCCGTTTATTTACCATAATGGTAAAACCAAGATGTTTCCACAGTCTCGCAGGAGGTATGGCACCGGTCTCGATGTGAACATTAGGAAGCGGAGACTCTGGCTTGAAGGAGATCTCCGTCCTCCTTAAATTTCTTATTTGTCTATACTGTAGTACTTGCATTCTGGGCCTGTAGTATTGCATAGTTGCAAAGACACTGAAATTCCATAAATACACTTTGATTTAACAACGGCACATATTCCAGTTGTGGTAAGTACAAAAGGTTATTATGTAATTGCGATTTTAACAGAGAATCTCTGCTTCAAGGGCGTAATCTACATGAAGCGAAATCGAAATTTACGTTGGAAACAAGTGGAGGAAAGTCCCCCATGTACGAGATAAGTTCCTGAGACAGCGGGGTTGCTGCTAAATTAATAGGCATCAGTTTTAAGGAACTCAATTTTTGAGTTTTTAGAAATTTCAATTTTTCAAGGAACGAGACAAGGATACGCGCGAAACAGGGCGAGAGATTGAAAGAGGTGACAGTTCTACGCCGGAGACTGAAAATTCGTCGCACCATCTGTTCGCTGTGCCGCCCAAATGTAAGAGCGTCTTGACCATCATGTTATCGGAATTTCCTGTGTGTTCGCGGATGCATAAATATCTTGTGTATACGAAATCAACGGAATTTTGTCACGCAGAATTCACATAACCTCCCGTGTCACGCACCCGAAACCATAGACCTAAAGCAAGGTCGGTGTGGAGCCGGCGGTTGACCGACCTGACGTTGCTCCGTTTCACGGCCGCTCTCACTCACGTTCGTCCCGCCACCGCGAGAAATCCCCTAAAAAAAATCCCCTCTGTTTTTCAAGATTGTGCTGTGAAATTAAAAATTACATTAACATAAATTATATCTGCGTGATATTTACATCAACTTTTCTCATGCAGACAACGTAAATTTTATAAATGAGATGTCGGAATGCACAGCACAGACATGCGCCAAGTGGAAATTTTATCGGCAGAGTCTGAAAATGCGCGATGAAACAGTTCCAAAAGTGAAAATGGGCGTAAGAGCGTGCAAAACAGTCTCCCGAAAAACGGTATCAATTGGCTGCTTTCGCGAGAGGATCAAAATGATCCGGATTAAAATGACCCTGTGCTATGATTGGTCAAATCTGAAATTTCGTAGCATCACATTGAAATTTTATTCAATGAAATTCCAGATTTGACCAATCATAGCACAGGGTCATTTTAATCCGGATCATTTTGATCTTCTCGCGAGAGCAGCTCAAGTAAAACCGCCGACGTGGCCGCTCTCAGGGCTGCTTTCGCGAGAAGATCAAAATGATCCGGATTAAAATGACCCTGTGCTATGATTGGTCAAATCTGGAATTTCATTGAGTAAAATTTCAATGTGATGC